TCCTATGTCAAATTTTCAATGATTAAACATTTCCCAGTACCAAAAAATTATGGTGGTTTGATGACGTTTGCCGTAAGCAGACGATCGCGTCACAGTAGTTCGACGGTTAGTCCCCACTTTTATGCTGGCTAAAACAGGGGGCCTGAGAGCAGCTCGACTGCCCGGGCAGCATTGAGCAGCAAATATGACTGTTCAACCGGGCAGAATGTATTTTCGATAGTCTTTTTTTGAGTAAAATTAAGCTTCTGACGTCCTCTTACATGGTATCTGACACGTTTTGGGCGCAAAAAGGCTGGCGCAAGAGGACCCCTACAACTGTTCGGATGACGCAGAGTGGACCGAGAGCACGACCGAGGCCAAGCTTGATGCACATAGCCTCCAGAGCGTTTTCGCTCCCCCCCAGCTTCTGCTGCTTGAGCAGAATTTCCATCTACAACCCCATCGGTTTTGCCCAGCCCGCTGCCCCCATGTCACAACGTCATTGAGCGTGTAGGGATTAATTGACCAAGGCGTTGCTGAGCAGCACGAAACCTTACCTGAGCCACAGTCGTCTCTCTCGCCTATCGGGCATTTTCCGCGCGTCTCGCCACCGTAGCCATTCCATCGGGGTCTCCCGTCGTTCCTCGGAGGTACCTATACGACGGGAATCTAACATTCAGGCGCGGTGGATACCAGCTTACCTTTTACGTGCTGTTCATCTAACCAAGCGGCTTTAGTGGCGGGTGATACTCCGACAGCCTTGTTTCGTATTAGCGAGGTATAGCTACAAGAATCACGAGATGGCTGCGATACCAGATGTTGAAGGCCTCTCAGAATGTATCAGCCGAGCGATCCAAGAGCACCTTGCCAAGTCCAACATCAATGTTGCGTGGCCACAGCTGGATAGTCTTGATCACCCTATCCTTCGCGTTGAGGCTTTCCTCGAGGAAGCTGGCAACGATAATGGAGCAAGAGCGCGATCCGAGAGGATAGCATCGGTATGTTGAGTCATTTACTACTATCGCAACTCCCACGTGAAGTGGCGCATGCTGACACACATGCAGCAAACAGTAGATTTGACGGGCATGAGAACCCCTGCGCCTACACAAAGTCCAGCAGTAGATGATCGAGAGTGTGATGAAACCTCACCAACCGATGAACCTCGTTTTCAGGAAAGCCCTTACCCATCGCGGGAGGAGCAGCAGGAAAACCGCAGGAAAGGTACCGGCGGGCTGAGAGTATCTCAAAAGCAGTCTTCATTTCAGGAAGATCTTAGCGAACATCAGCGGCAAATGCAGATTGATAGCCGAAGTTTTCCGAAAAGAAAAAAAGTACGTGCATGTTACCAAAGCTTAATATTTGCGGGGCCTTCTCAAATAGAAGGCCGGTTGTTGATCGCCTGATTCAAACTTGTCAGGTGACTATTCAATGTTGCCAGCAAAGCCATCTGCAGATCAAACTATACTGACAGCTCTAGGTCGCCTCGGATAAATTCGTCTTTCAGCCTTCTACTCTAGACAAGCTCATCATCGGTATCTGGGAGCAGGTTCATGGCTCTATCAATCTAGATCCGAAAGCGATATTTGAACAGTTTCAAGTTGCACCTAATGGGTCATCAATGGACATTGTTCGACATGCGCAATCAGACACCACACCTCCCACGATGACGGTGCTCAATAGCGCGGCGAGCACAGTGTGTAATTCTTTCAGTCAAATGAACACATTTTGTCGCAAGGTTACACAAGCAAGCCGCGTATGCCGGTCGATTGAGATGATTGTACAAGCCCGATGGACTGAACTTTTCGAAGAGCAGGTGCAATACCGTAGTCAGACGAGACCAGAGCTGTCGACGACGAAACATAGAAAGGCCGTTTTCATGGAGGCATGTCAAGATTTTGCCTGGTCTGAGTAAGTGCAAGATGTTGGTGAGGCTAACGGCTTTGATGACGATGATTGCTGACAATGCTGCTGTAGAAAGGAATTGCGAAACAAAATGGCAATCTGGAGAGGTTACAAAGAAGTGAAAGACGCCGCAGGCTGGGCAGCACTTGTGTTTGCCGGTATGGGCATCTACCGTTTCTGCAAGTACCGCGTCGGATTCGACAATGACGCTATGCGACGTCTTAGAAACTTGCGAAAGCGACTGGAAGTAGCAGCTGATACTCTCCATCCCCATTGGCGGCAATTGTTAGCAATTGTGGGCGAGTCAGCAACCCTTCAATACCCCGGACATCCGCATGAATGGGTCGTGTTCGAAGACGGGTCTGATCCGATACCTTTACGTCAGACGTATTTGACACAAGACCCATACTTTTCATTCGAACAGATTGACGAATCCGTAATCGATGAATCGGTCTGGGGATGTGAAGATCCAAGGTGGACGCCACAAACGAACGTCGTCGCAAGACCAGGCGGTGCGTACGTCTGCGCACTGTGCAACGAGCACCAATCGGACGATCCAAAGGAAAACTCTTGTTTCTGCTTCCCATTGCTGTTTGGCTGTGTGAAACGTAAGCCGCCGCCCGTCCAGGTGTACCGCACTCAGGATGGCAAGAACAACGGGTTAGTCGCTTTAACATCTTTCGATCGCGGTACTGGCATCGGCGAACTCGTTGGCCTAATCACAAAAGGCATGAGGCATCTTGACGTAATGGACAGCTCAACACAATCAACCAGTTACCAAATCTGGCAAGGAAGAGTGGGAAACTATACACGCTTCATCAACCATAGCTGCAAGCCTAATGCGCAATGCTCGACATTTACCTGGCTGGATACCCAAAGGGTGGTGCTTGTCAGTAAGGGAATTGAAGCTGGTACAGAAGTCACATTAGACTACGGCGACAAGTACTGGGCAGGATTGGACAAATCCTGCCTATGTGGAGAGAGTTGCTGCAGGTACAGGAGAGACGGCAAGTGATTCGCCTAAGGATTGCAGATGGACCGAAGCTGTCGCGATCCCGAGCTGGATGTGATGCGAATGCATTTTTGTGCGCATACATATATTCTTTCAATTAGATTCTTGTTCAAAGTTTATTCGCGGAATTCGCGACCCCCGGTCAAAAAGCACATCTTCAATCGTGCAGCGATGTGATAGTACGATTCGCAATGGTTGGTCCCATTTCAGCTTCACGTGGCGTTATCGATAAGATTAGCGTGAGATATCCCTGCACAAAATCTCAGAAGTCAAGTCGAAGATTGGCCTTCTGAAAACAACCGACAACCACAATATGACGACTAGCGACTACAGCGATTCCGGTGCGTCCGATCAAGAGATACTGGAGGCCCAGTCTGGGGCGAGAAAAAGGAGGAGACTTTCACCTGCTGATTGCACTGAAAGTTCTGCTTCAGAGACTGAAGCTCAACCTGCCCCGAAGCCACTCCAAGTCGCACCAACAACCATTTCGCGCGTCAAAGCGAGGACGAATGGCGCGCAAAGTAACAACACGCCTTCCCAAGCTTCCAATGTTCCTGCGGTCAACCAAAAGCTCAGTTTTGCTTCACTCAACGTAGCGCCATGGCTCGTTGCCTCGCTCGCTAGCATGGCGATTAAGCGACCAACGGGGATTCAAGCATCTTGTATCCCCGAGATCTTGAAAGGAAAAGACTGTATAGGAGGCTCAAGAACCGGTACTGGTAAAACCATCGCGTTTTCAGTGCCCATTCTGCAAAAATGGGCAGAGGATCCGAGCGGAATCTTTGCAGTCATCATCACGTGAGTTTCGCCTTGTCATGTTGTGATACGCCAAAAGTGGCATCAAACAAATCAGCTACAACATTATACTAACGGCTATGTAGACCCACGCGCGAACTTGCGATCCAGATCTACGAGCAAGTCAAGGCCATTTCGGCCCCTCAGTCCATGAAACCAATCTTGATTACAGGAGGCTCAGACCAGCGCGCTCAAGCTATTGAACTTGCTTCGCGCCCCCACGTCGTGATTGCAACACCAGGTCGACTCGCAGAGCATATCCGAACCTCTGGTGAAGACACCATCTGTGGGCTGAGGCGTGTGCGATTCGTTGTCTTTGATGAAGCCGATCGTCTGCTCGCCCCAGGAAAAGGCTCCATGCTACCCGATCTCGAAACATGCTTATCCGTGCTTCCACCAAAGGAAACCCGACAAACGCTCTTGTTTACTGCAACCGTAACACCAGAAGTCTTGGCTCTCAAAGACCAACCGCGCGCTCCGGGCCGATTGCCAATCTTCGTCTCAGAAGTAGATACAGAGGATCTAGCGATTCCCCCGCGTCTCCAGCAACGGTACCTTCAAACGCCCGTCACGCACAAGGAATGCTACCTTCATGTGCTTCTCAATACGCCAGTCAACAGCACAAAAAGCGTCATCATCTTCTGCAATCGGACCAAGACTGCTACTTTGCTCGAGTACATGCTGCGCCTGCTTGACCACCGCGTCACGGCCCTGCACTCGGGTCTCAAGCAATCCGATCGTGTGAACAATCTAGCGCGATTCCGTGCCCAAGCAGCTCGTATCCTGGTAGCCACCGACGTCGCAGCCCGTGGTCTCGATATTCCAGAGGTAGCACTTGTCATCAATTTCGACGTGCCACGTGATCCGGACGACTACATCCATCGTGTTGGTCGTACGGCGCGTGCGGGTCGTGTAGGTACGGCCATTACGCTGATTGGACAAAGGGACGTGGAGCTCGTATTGGCGATTGAAGCGCGGGTGGGCAAGAAGATGGAAGAGTTTGAAGAGGAGGGCGTCAGTATTGAGGGCAGAGTTGTTAGGGATGCATTGAAGCCGGTGACGGAGAAGAAGAGGGAGGCCATGTTGAGTATTGAAGAAGGGAGGGATGTGCTGGGCAAGAGAAAGGTGGGTATGCAGAAGAGGAGGGCTGAGTGATTTTGTTGTAAAAAAATTCTGTCATTTCATTTGGTCATATACCGCTTTCTGTGTTTTCCAGGGTGCATACATGAGAAGAAGAGAATACTGAACTTGAACGCAAACAACTTACCCCAAACCCAAAAAAACCCCTGCCATGTATCCATCCCATTCCCACCTACTTCTCCGCCGTCGCATCAAACGCCTCCTGCCTCCCCCTACTATTCTCCCCAATCCTCCACCTCTCAATATACTCCTCAACCTCCTCACATCCATTCTCCTTCCCCGGCACCGGCTCCCCCCACGACCCCCAGTACGGCACAACCCCCGTCCACGTCTTCTTGACCAACTCGGCATTCTTCAAATCCGCACGATCCTCACTCGGTCCGCCTGTCCTAATCTTCGCCGAAGCCTATCCGCATTAGCAATGTCTCTTCCCTCCCCCCCTCAATCTCCACCTTCCAACCCATAAAAAAACAAACGAGGAAAAATAGATGAAGAAACACTTACAGAAACAACCCTCACCCTAATCACCCCCGTACTCTTCACCTCGGCTTTCGTCGGCGGCACCCGACTCCCCTCCCACCTCCCAGGCAACATATTCTCGGTGATCTCGCGCATCGCCCACATGGCCTCGTCTTCATCGTCCACAAGACTCGCATACCCGTACACAACCGCCGATCGATAGTTGCACGAGTTGTGGAACGGGGTGAGGCTGAGGACGAGGCCGTCGAGATTCGATGCTGCGATGGTGATGGGGAGGCCTTGTTCCTCGTTTTCTTCTGAGGAGGAAGGCGAGGATTCCGCAGATTTTTTGAAGAGGCGACCGGAAATGTAGCCGTGGAGGTAGATGGCTTGAGCCGCGGAGGAGTCGTTGGGGGTTGAGTAGTTTCCTGTGCATCCGAGCATGGGGAGGACGACGGGGAAGGGGTGGGACGGGTCGGTGAAGGAGACGTGGAGGATGGGCGTGCGGTTTATGAGGGTGTGGATGGTTTGGTAGTCGTAGGTGCCTGGTCATTTTTTTGTTGTGAACACCGGGGATCCCTCTTTGAAATGAGGGGAAGATGGGGAAGAAGAAGGGGAGATGACTAACCTCTGTTTGGGAGACGGCCAAGTTTGTTTACGGCTGTTTTGGGGTAGGAGGGAGAAGACATGGTTGGGTTTTTTGGCGATTTGGTTGGTATTCTTAGTGTTATGGTTTTCTTCTCCTACTCTTTAATCGCGTGATACAGTTGCCGTAAAAATGCCTAGGGAGACTTCTATGATGTAGAGAAGGCCCTCTTTTATGTGTTTGATATTCAAAGTTCGTGGTTCGTCAATCTCTTTTTGTACACATAAGGCGTACAGTGACTCTTTCTGCTACCTGCGGGAAAAGCGGGGCACCGGACTAACCCCAATACTTCTCTTATTGGCTATGGCGACATGCGAACATATGTCATATCGCGTGTACAGCGTGTGTGTGTATGTGTGACTGGCAGCATTCAAGGCCCGTGTTGGGTAATGAAGGATACCCGAGGCTATCCAAGGACTCGTTATATGCAGGTCCGCTTTGACATAATAGTGAACTAGTAGTTTGATGTACGTCGTAAGATATATGTAAATTGCAGGTGGTATTTGCCATGTTTCCCTTTTCCTTCGGATTCAACCCAGGAAACGAACAAAGAAATGATAAGCCTCGAGGGGCCATGATGCCATGACAGCATAATCTCCCTCCCAATCCTGAGATTTCCAAAAGACTCCAAAACGCCCAAGGCAATGCAAAGTATATGGATAATACCATTTTGAAGCACACCCTCGCTTGCGCCAAAAAAAAACTCCTTCTATCTTGTCAAGCACTCCATACCCAAACATTTCCCCCTCACTATCTGAACCCCCACGCACTCCTCAGCCCACCCTTCACGCTATCCAATTTCAAACACTGATACGGGCTACTCTGTGGATCATAATATAATCCTTCCAGTTTCCCATTCGTCCGATCCAGAGCAACATAGTAGAATCCACTTATGGTAAGACCGCAACCCGAATCGTCAAAGGTAGCGTGTTCGGTATCGTTGGTGGGCGAAGAGTTAAAGAGAGGCTGGGGGGTAATTTCAACCTCGGGACGACCGGTTTGTGCATTGCGCACAATGCGGTAGGGCGAAGGCTGGACTTGAGAGATGTGGGCGGTGGTAGACCAGGAGTTTGATGCTGAGCCATCTGACAAGGAAGGTGTGGTTGTAGAAGGGGGCGGTACTACGGGATTTGGTGTGCTGCGGTTCAGACTTTTGACAAAACACCGTTCCTTCCAACGCATCAGTATCCATTCCTGGCTCAGGACTTCGGCAAGCCATTTCTTGCTCGTCAATGCTCTGATGACGTCTTCGTCGCTCATCTTTTGGAAAGGCGGCAGCTTGCGCCAGTAGGTTGCGTCATTTGCAGCGCTGGATTTGAAGGATTCGGTAAGAAGAGTGTGGTTGTTGAAATCAAGTATTTCGCCTTCAAGATATGTGGTGATGGAGGATGTGCGCGTGACGGGTGGCGCACTGCTGTTGGTGGGGAGAATGGAGTGCGAATGTGGGTGCGAGGGCACATTATACGCCTCCATGGTTGCGGAGAGGGACATGGCTTCCCAATCGACGTCGTGTATTGTGACCTTGACAGGCCATTGGTCTTGCTGGGACTGTGTTTCGGATGAGTGTGAGCTGCGGTTCGTAGACGCTTCGGAGGGAGTCCATATCCACGGGCGGATAGGTGGAGGCAGGCCAGAGTGCCGCGATGTGACAGAGACGCTGGGGGGCATGGTGGTTGCATGTTGGCAACCCGACAGGACGGCACCGGGGACCAACCAGGACGTCTCGGTCGGACGGGGGATTGTAAAGGTGTCGGCAACAAAGTCGGCGTGCTGCAGGCAAAAGTAATCCTTTGTCAGGAAGCCGGCATCTCGGGCATATTCCAGACTCTCGTCGGGGTTGCTCGAGTGGCGTATCCGCGATAGGTACTTGACCGTCTGCTCGAGCATGGGCGATGAGCGGCCATCTGAGAGTCGCTGCATGGACATGTGGCGAGCGGTGGCTTCGCGGTGTCGCTCGACCGAGTCGCTGTGCAGGCTGGCTCTAGCGGCAAGCATCTCTCTGAGAGTGCGGTGCGAGGTATGGCGTGATGGGGCCTCTGTGGAAGCGGCTTCCCTGGTGCGGGCAGAGAAGCGTGGGTGTCTGCGCACGCCGGCCGACTGCAGAATGGCCGTGGAGCGAAGGGAGCTCTCGGTGGCGGTGGCCTCATTTGCAGGCGACCAGTCGTACAGGCTGTTCTGGCTGGGGACGCGGTCGCCATAGTTGTTGTCGCTCAACCGGCTGAGGCGACTCATCACTCGCCGCAGCCTGTCCCGCTGCTCCAGCTCGTCTCGTTGCCGCTCCAGCAGGCGCAGGCGCTCGCGGGACCGTTCGAGGCGTACCTGGTCGTGCTCGTGGGCGACGCGCAGATAGTGCAGGTGGGCGCGTTCCAGGGCGTCGGCGTCGTGGATGGGATTGGCGTTGTCGTGATGGTTGTCGCCGGTGTCGTCACCGTCGATGTCAGCGTCGTCGCCAGGCTGGGTGCCCAGTGTTGCGGCAAGATTAAGGACGTCGTCGTTGACGGGGCTCTCGAGGTCGCGCAGGGCCGAGATGAAAGTGGGTTCGGGGTCCTATATAGTGGGCGTTCCGTCAGTCAGTCCGTCATCCACGCTCGTGTCGTGATGTGCAGTGTCGGTCACATCGGCCGTGTCGCGGACACACGGGCATGCTTACAGGCGAATTGGCGGGCGGCATTATGACGAAGCGGGCACGGCGGGCATTGCGCGACGGGGCTGTGGAATGCAGACACGACGTTTCGACATCAAGAGAGGCGTGGCCCCGGCGGAACTCGTGCGTCCCAAGACGAGACCACGGCCGTCAGACAACAGGCTAGAGGCGTGCTGGCTGCGACGGGTCGCAAAAGCAATCCTCGCCTTGCTCTCGGCCTCGTCGCGACTGTGGCACCACTCCCGCCCGATAACCTACAGTCTGGCACCACTCATCGGCCCAATCCTTCATTGCGGCACAGCCGTCGTCCTGGGGCCGTTGACCCGAAGCCCTGGTCACAACATGATCGACAATCCTCGCCTCTTGACTCTCTTTCAACTTCACTTGCTGCTCTAAGCACACGTCATGGGCAAAAACTTTGTATCTGAAGAATCTTTTTTTGTATTGGATTTCAAGGCTCGTTTTTTTTTGTAATTAGGTAGAGAAGGCTAAGTGAGAAGCTTGCTTCTGTCCAGCATCTGTTTCACACGCGCCCAGATCAACCAGGCAGCGTGCTTTCCCCAAAGACTGGCCTTGGAGTGTAGGAGATGAACCCCACAAGTCTCTGTACATCCAGTTTCCCGTGTCGGTAGAGATCAGCAAAAGTGCAAAGGGTACATCAGAAAGCGTTTGCTCCGCAAGCAGAGGACCACTTCCCTAGAGTCAGTGACGCCACAGACGTACTCCTGTCTCGACCCCTGCTCAGCTGCTTCCCCCTTTCCGACCCAGTCCCCCTTTCAGCAAACAGAGACGAGCTATTACAGCGGCATCGCAGATGCATGTATAACTTTTGTCGTCGCCCCTCGGCATGTCCAGCTGGCACTCAATGCCAGTCCAAGTAAGCAGGTTCGTGAACGTTGATCGCGTCAAATTCGTAAGAGTCATGGCATGCCACTGGCTCAACGAAGAGATGGCGCGCCCGTCCAGGAGGAAAACGACATTAAAAACAAGAAAACAAAAAAACAATGCGAGTGTGCCTGACCTCGTGAGCCGTGAGGCTGTGTTTACCGTCTTCCGTTAAAATGCCCGACATGCATACCTCCCAGAGATGCTGTATTCAGTAAAGAAAAGACCTGGTCCGGCCGTGTTGTGCAATAAGAAGACAAAAGAGAAATCGCTCGCTAAAAAAAGGAGAAAAGCACTCGACAAATCAAGAAAATCAGGTATCAAAAGAGAACATGTACGAGAAGAGAGGAGAAAATGACGCTCGCTAAAAATCGATGAAAAACGCCGTCCCATGCTGGTTTGGTAATGATGTCTGCTTGTTCAGCATCATGTCGTGAATATCGCTTTCGTCTCGTGTCGGGTGTCGCAAGGTTGGTGCGCTGGCAACCAGCGTATGAGGGGAAAATCTGGGGGACTGGCCAGGTCCGCGGTTCCCGCCATCGACAGAGATCAGATACATGTACCACAGCATAAGCGCCTTCCAACTTATGTGAAGGCTGCGTACTGTGGTGCAAATCCAGTATCCCATCCAAAACCACCAAATCCTCCGTGGACGGCGCTTGACCCGCATTGCTGGGCCAAGACACTCGGCAGAGGAAGGGCTGGGATTGGTGCCGATGCCGGGGGCGGGCTGTAATACGAACTCGATGTGTACGGGCTGGTGCTTGGCGCATATGGGCTGGTACTTTGTGCGTAGGGGCTCGTCGAGTTGTATGGCTGGCTGAAGGAAGGAGTTGGCGACGGAAGCTGAATGGCTTCGAAGCCCATGGTTCCCATGGTGCTCCAGAATGAAGGTCCAGTTTCACCGCAGGTAGCAATGGTAGGGCTGGGGGTCGAAGGAACCACCCTCCAGGCATCGACTGGGGCAGAGTGCGACGGGTGCATCTGTTGCGTTGGCACCCACCAGTTGGCTGAGGCAGTCGAGCTTGGGAGGAGGGGTGCTGGTCGGACGACATCAACAATCCTGGGAGGAGGGGGAAGAAGGGGGAGGAACAATCCCATGATGGCGCTCTTGACGTCCTCACCTCGTCCTTCGAGTAGTTCTCCCGCGCCTTCTTCCTCCAAACCTTCCAGAGCCTTGACACCAGTGCGGAATACGTAGCGGTTTACGGCCTGGACAAATCCATCCTGAAGCTTCTTCAACTGCTGCTCCTTCTCAGCCCACTCCCAGGTGCTGGCGGAGACATCAACCGAGTAGATGTCCTTGTGGTACTCAATAAGCGCATCGATGGTCTCCTGTGTAAGCTTGAATGCAACCTCATGTTGTGAAACCATGTCGACGTGTACGACATAGGCCTCGATGTGGATGATTTGGTAGTTGAACAGGGCCTCGACAAGCGGATTCGAGTCCTTGCGCAGTTCCGAGTCGGGAGCCTTTGGTACCATGATGGAGCAAAGCGACCAGATGGCATTTGGGCCGGATAGTGTCTCGGTCAGGCAGCGCGTGTGTTGTTGTACGCTATTCAACGGCCGCTTGACCCGGTTGACTCTCTTCAAGGTTTGTGTTAACCATGGCTCGGCTTTTGAGGCCAAAACAACGTTGACGTTGGAACGGGGCGCAAAGGCCGCAGCCGAAGCGGGTAGTAACGAGATCGGCATAGTGGCCTTGGGGTATGTGTGTTTCAGGGTGGTAGGTGCGAGACGGATTGCGATATTAGATGGGACGGATTCAAACGATTTAAAGGAAAGAAACAAAAGAGATTGTAAAGGGAAAAAAGATGTCTCTGGGCGAATGTGGTGGTTGCTGAGGCGCCTTTGATTGAGATGGAGAGACAGGGAAGAGCGGGCGAATGAGGAGGGGGGAAGGCGAGGTGGGAGGCGGAGGGTGAAGAAAGGCTAGTGGTGGTGGTGGGTGCCATCTCTTAAGAGCTTACAAGCGACGATCATGGGCCGCTCGGCGTGGCCACACACTCGGCAAGGATTTCATGCACACTGCCCCGTTTGCCTGCGCAGCGCATTTTAGCTTGTCGAAACGTGCATATGGCAAAAATATGCAGGCTGCAGGTTTAGTCGGATCTAAGCTGACCGACGGGCACGGCGAAAGCGTTGTGCACACGTGGATAGGCGTAGGCGAAGATTGCGACGGGCTGCTCATGGCGGGCACAAATGTGCAAATGACGATTTGAACATGCATGGCCGGAGATGAGAAGCAACGAGGCGCTTGATCAGCCTCTCGAGTGGAAGTAGCAAAGTTAGTGTACGAGTATGGCCGAGAGCATTACTGGCTCTGGACCATGGCAGCTGAAGCCATGTACATACGCAGCAAGCAGGCAGAGCCATGGCTCGACGAGACGCACAAGAGTTTACGGAGGCCGGCCGTAACAGGCGGCCGTGAAGGACAGCGGCTGCACCAGCACTTGCACCAGCACTTGCACTTGCACTTGGACGGGGTGGACTACTTACTCCTAGACGCCGTTGGCGGAGCTGGCGAAGGGGAAAAAGTGAAGCCTACGACTGGGCTTACTGTCGAGCATGTGGTGTTGCAACATGACACGGATTCCAGAAGCTTTCCTTGGGCGTCCAGATGGAGAGAGGAGCGCAGCGGCTTTGATACCCTTTTCGGGGCTGCCGGGGGGGTGCAAGGGATGGGTGAAGGCTTCTGCGCTTGTCAAGGGGTGTGTTGCTGGCAGAGACTTGCAAGTGGGTGTAGTCGAGGTAGTCTTGGGCCGTCTACAGGTTGACGTTGCTTGAGCCTAAAAATGGGCTGCAAACACTCAGCCCAATCAGCGGGCGGGACAGGGGGGTGGGCAGGGTTGGTCTACCGAGAAACCCGCGATCATGTGCGCCGGCTCTTGCAGACACGGCCCAGAAGCTTAGCAGAGCAGAGAGTAGCATTGTCGAGTAGCTCCGGCGGCTGCTGAAGCAGGAAGAGGCTGCATGCCATCTTGGGCCGTGGGCAGCCATGGCACGACCCGAAGCACCTCATGACGCTGGCACTGACGATGCTTCTGCTGCTGCTGCTTCTGCTGCTGCTGCTGCTGCTGGCAATGCGGCCATGACCGGGCGGTGATGCGGTGCGCCACTTCACTCATGTGGCCGGAGCACATGATGCGCTGTTGCGGCGGTGCAGGCAGTCAAGGCGGTGCAAAGCGGTGACGGTCGAGTGCTGGCGGCACCGCCGACGCTCTCGCACATGTCCGAAGTACCGTATAGTATACGATTTACAGTTGAGTACGGCGCACACGGGACGGTACCCTTCTCCACAGTATCTTTTTTTTTGCTTGCAAAAACTGGCAATGCTGGCTATAATTCGCCCTGTCCGACTGCCCGGCCCATGTACTACATACATACTACCGTCCGTCTAAAAGAAAAGGTTCGCCTCTTTGCGGAGCGGAGCATGCAGGGCCCAGGAGATGGGGTTTCGTCACTGAACGCCCGTAACGTCTTCGTCGGCGCGATTGGAGAGGGAGGGCGATCAAGTGAAGCACAGTGAAGAGCATTACGCAAGTGCCCGGCATGTCCGATATGGACCAGTAGTGCTATGGTATGCTCCTAGTCGTCGTCTCCGTCCCAGGGCGACGGTCTTATCGATAGCACCCAGCCTACCGTACATGTACCATGTTTCAGACATGTCGACTGCGCCTCCCACGCAAACGAATATCCGGGGGGCAAAACCCACAGGCGACCGCCCTTGTGGCCTACCCCACATGGACATATTGGTGTTTTGCTGTAGGCGTAGTATGCGCATCCAGTATGCCCCTCTTGGCGTAGAGGGCTCCCCAGTCGCAACGGCAATGTTCCGACCGTCTGACTCTACATCTACTAGGTGTAGACACCCGATGCGCATGCTCATGCTCATGCTCACGCTCACGCTCACACATTTTCAGCTCGACAGGGTTCTGCCAAGCTAGCCGCCCCACTGAGCCGACCACAACCGGCTTTCTCCTTCCGAGCCCCCTACGACTCATCCATCCATTGCTTGTCCCTCGTCGGCCTCCCTCGTCTCTCACCCAGGGCCTGTCCTCGCGCCCACCTACGCACAACATGACGCTCACGATGCAGAATCGTCATGTCCTATGACTGTTCATGCAAACATTTCCTCCACCCGGCCGCGTTTCGCTACACGCTGGCTGGGCACCGCTCGCACATCCATGGCTCCGTCCATGCAGCTATCGTGACAGAGCCCGATGACTCACTCATGGCAAGCAAACCTGCACTTGCAACAAGAAAAAAATTTAGCCCGTCTTGTTTTGACCGCACTTGCGCGCCGCTGCCCTCCCATCTCGAGCGCTACCAAACTTCTCCCCCAAAGTCCTCTCCCGCGCTGCAACCTTGTGTCTCTAGTCCAACACCCCAGCTTTCCCCTTGTCCATCCTCAGGTGGTGGTGGGCAGTAATGCAGGTGCACCGCACGCCATTGTGACTGCTAACCCAACGGTCTCCCTCTAGACACGGGCTGCTATCACCACCGTACTGACGTTACGCCAGCTGCATCTGGCCACCCGCAATAGTTGCCCAAGCCCCTGTCTCCAACATTCACGTTTAGCATAGTGCCACTGTCTTACTTTCCTCAGCAGTAAGCGGGCTAGATCTACGACTTACACCTGGCTTGTTCCGCCTTGTTTGGGAACATCGATACACCCTGGGCTCAACCTTGCCAACGAGGTATTAATGCACTCGCGTATACTTGTCTCAAAACACATGTCACTGAAAGAGAACGGAACATGGGCCACCCACACTACACTCTCTATAAGGGGCCTGCTCCGAGTTGGTGGCTGTCCATTACCCATCCCTTCCTGGATAGATTGCAGGCGGGGGGACTTGGACACCAGCCGCTCCCCCAGCATCCTTGACGGAGAGCTTGGACTACCGCATCTCTGGGATCTACCACACCAACTCCTCATCCGCACACTTTAGCATATCACCTTTGAGAACACCACGATCGGGGATATCGGATGGGCCCCTAGTGGCTGCCGGCACCCTGACCCCTCAAACTGTCCCTCGACCGTCACACTTGTCTATACACACACACATGTTTACTCATATACATATAAGGCTGATCGGTGGAGTCTCAGGCACTGAAAAAGGGTCGCCTTTGCTCTTCATCGGTGGCTTCGCTCGTCATTTTATCCATGTTCCCTGCACTAGCGTACCTTCTTGAGCACATTGCATGCACGGCATAACTGTTGAACTCTGTCGGCGCTTCGCCAGACTCCTCACTGTTTCGACTAGTCTCCTACTCCACAGTCGGAGCATCTCGACCTCCACTATGGCGTCTAGACCATACCCAGCCGCCGCTGACGTACCCCTAAAAGAGTTCCTTCTTGGACTCAATAAGCAAAACGTTAGCCATTTCTCATTCGGGAAGTTTTGCCGTATCGTACCATGGGACGCCAGAAACAAGTGGTTCTGTATACACTGATCACGCAGACTGAACTGCTGTGAGAACTGCTAGCTGAATCTTCAGAGTTGTTTTTCCAAGAGGTGACTGTCTCCTCCTGATAGTATCGTCCATGCGGTTTATATTCCATCTTGGGATTTCAGCACCGACATGGCATCCACGAACGAGCGACGATCCTTGTGACGGCTTTCTTGACATATCCCCTTACAAAAACGCCCGTCATAAACCATATATTGCCCCCACGGAGATGCAGACTTCGGCCTCACTTTGATTTCCTTTTTTGGGCTTAAGATGCTACAGTAGCATCTGTTGTTTCACGCCGATCCCATGCTTCCCACTCATCCCCCACTAATGTTTTATCGTACGTACTCGTTCCCGGTCCATCTAGGCCCGGAATTGTTTGCGGGGTCAAGGGTTTTGTGCATCGATACTGCTTTTTCACAAGCCTGTGCATGGCCTCCAGAAATTCAAGTTCCAGGAGATGAGACAGTGTGTATTGGGAGGCGCGGCTACGCCGAAATCCAGGCCCTATGAAAATCCCTAGGCTTCTTTCCTATAAACTTGGTATATCCATGTGGCTCAGTAGTGTAGATTACGGAAGCATTCTTTCCGATGGTGCACTTTCGATCTTGGCCGACAGGGAAGGTGTGGTATGAATATTACTTGAAGTGCGAGAGAAAACTGGGTCACTATACGTGGATCTAGTGTCAATCCTCAGATCACTTCGGGCCGAACCACATGCAAGTATGTAATATAGAAGTGCTCAAATCTTCTCACCATGTCTATTGATGGCTCGTTAGATTACTGCAAAATCACTGCTTGCTGACTACTATGTTTTTGTTCAAGTCTCGTATGTCCCTAGATAAAAAGAGATTCCGTCCTCATGTGCAGTGATATATATCAAGTGTGACTGTCGCAAGGCATTTCACCATGCAATGTCAAGAGTAACAAGCTGTCAGAAATGCTTTGACCTGTAAGTTGTCACCCGTATTATGGCACCTGACGAGCGCTACTATATCGAAGCAAAATACAGTATATTTGGCAGCATTGAAGGCAAACAAATGAGTTTGCTGTGGATATGGCAGTTCGTTGTCTGGAATATCCTGCCGAGTTGATAAGAGACAACTGGCAAGTGCTGAGTTGTCAGCCTCGTCATATCATGACCACCTCAAACTTGATTTGGGCACGCACGTGATACCAGACCTATCAGCTGCAAATCCTACTCCTTATCGTCTACGTAGTTCAGAGATTTTTTTCTTATCTTCCAAGTGGCGTTTTGTACATACAACATGACATGCGCCAATTTTCGAACCTGCAAATGTACAAAGTCACGTGCGGCAACACGGAGCTTCGGGGCTCTTGAGCCGCCTGGTCGGTTAAAGAAGAGACCGGCAGTTGCGATTATGACATTACCATACAACTGCCGACGTTCCCAAGGTCCACAATCTCCTGCTATCCTTCGCACAAGGTTTAGCTGTTGAGACAACCAACGTCGGCAGTTCTAGAATAGCACAGAGCGCGTGAAGCATGACTATGCCATTGTGAGCCAAATTCCGATAATGGTGAGAGACTACGTTAAGATTCTGACAATACGAGGCGTTTTGTATGTGAGTTGCCCGCTGGTTGCGCCAGGGAAAGAGTGAGCGCGCTGAAATGACTAGATGCTTGTGTAAAGAAGAAAAAATGTAACTTGATGTGCGGTTTTGCAGACGAATTTTGGTGTTGATGATAAATGTTTACAACTACCCCGCGAAAACCCCGGGATCCTCCCTCCCCGCGCTATCGATCCTTCTCAGCCGTTCCATTGTAGCCACCGATCCACTTCCGCCGTCTCACGTCAAACATGACAACTGCCGATGCAAACCACTGCGCACAAGCACCCGAACGCGTAACGTAAACCATACCGGCGGCACCCGAGTGCCTTGTATCAGGAAATGACGGCACAGGTCCGATTGCGAGCTGCCGGTTACATATCCAAGCATGTATACCGAGAATCATATATAAAGTGTTCTGCCTATCTTGTTCCGGACATTGTGAATACCTGGACCCTGGATCAACAGCACCTATCACCGCTCACACTGGGTTACACAAGATGATCGTCAACGAGATCCTTCCGCTGCTCTTGCGATATTGGCCGGTAGTGCTGGCTACGACTGCGCTTGCGTTTCTACTCAACAACAAGTACTGGAAAGGATTAAACAAATACCCTGGACCTCGGCTTGCTGGATATACCAACTGGTGGAGGGTGTTGGACGTATCCACGCGGAACCACCACTGGAACATTATTGCGCTGCATCGCAAACATGGAGATATTGTACGGATAGGACCAAATGTATTGTCTTTTGCGGACCCGAAAGCGATCAAGACCATCTATGGGCTGAATAAGGGCTTCACCAAGGTACGAATATAAAAAAAAAGAGTTTGTGTGACGGAACCTAATTTCTCTCAGTCTGATTTCTATCCCGTTCAAGGCGCAGTGGTCAAAGGCAACACTCTACTATCTCTCTTCTCTACTACCGACGAAGATTTCCACGCAAAATACCGCCGATGCGTAAACAACGCTTTCGCCATGAGTTCGCTTGTCAACTATGAGCCTCTCGTAAGCTCGACGCTTACATACTTCCTCGACAGGACAGAGCAGTTGTTCGCCAATCCTGGTGCCAGCTGCAACTTCAGTCAATGGTTGCAGTACTTTGCATTTGACGTCATTGGCGAGTTGACATGGAGCAAGCGTCTTGGATTCGTTGAGGGCAATAAAGATGTGGACGGCATTATTGGCTTCTTGGGTCAATTCTTGGACTACGTCGCACCGGTAAGTTACTCGTATAGAGCCCTCTATATGTGTCCCTGTATTTACAATCCTTAGATTGGTCAAATGCCCATCCTCGACCGTTTTCTCTGGAGAAACCCAATCCTGCTCTTTGCTCAGCGCATTGGCCTTGACAAGCGCGTCCATCCAGTAACGCTTTTTGCCTTGAAGCGCTCTAGTGAGCGTGCCAACCAGGTAGAGAAGATCAAGCGCTACGGTCTCTCAGACGATGAGAGAGCAAATCCCCGTGGTATCGATCTCCTCTCCAAATTCGCACAGGCCAGCCATGACCACGAGCTCATGGACGACAACCGTATCCTCTCCACCTGTACATCCATGATCTTTGCTGGCTCAGAAACTACCGCCCTTTCCCTCTCTTCCGTCTTCTACTTCCTCATCAAGAACCCCCATGCCTACGCGAAGCTGATGCGAGAGCTGGACACCGCCGTCGCCAACGGTACCATCGAATCGCGCCCTGACAAGACTGTTTCCTGGTCTGAAACCCAGAAACTCCCTTATCTCGACGCCGTCATCCAAGAATCGTTCCGTCTCCACCCTGGCCCCGGTCTCCTCCTCGAGCGCATCGTTCCGCCACAAGGCGTGCAGATCAACGGCGAATTCATCCCCGGCGGCACAATCGTCGGTTGCAACGCCTGGGTCGTGCACCGCCGACCTGAAGTCTTTGGTTTTGACGTGGAAGCTTTTCGACCAGAGCGCTGGCTCGAGGCCACTCCCGAGAAGCTCAAGGAGATGAAGGGAACCATGTTGCAGTTTGGTGCTGGAGCCAGGACGTGCATTGGCAAGAACATTAGTCTTTTGGAGATTTACAAGCTTGTCCCAAGTTTCTTGAGGAGATTTGAGGTCAGTTTCTTCTTTTCGTGTCTTTTTTTTTCGCAGTTGGGACTATGCTAACATGAGTTGTTGTATAGATTGAGCTTGAACGCCCAAATTCCGAGTGGAAAACTCACAATGCGTGGTTTGTCTCCCAGAAAAGTTTCGATACCAGGTTCAGGCCTCGACGGTCCTCGCCGTAAAGCGCTGGGGAGCTGGCGTGATCCTTATTTCCAAACTGTTTTTTAATTTGTGCAAGCGTTCTAGCGTAATGATTCTGGATAGGTTAATTTGTTCAATCTTATTAATATGTTCGTCCATTATGACCAGGTTGTTGAAGAATTGTTTGATATGCAAAGTGCCAATCATGTGATGTGTGTCTAAAGTGTAATATTACTAGAGATATATCACCAAAGATGTATCATGGTAGGGATATCCTAGTGACCACCTGTAACATCTCGCCGAATCAAGCATCTTATTTGGTTTACCCTGTAGAGGATATTTGGACGGTGGGCTAGTAGTTAGGAATTTAAACACAAGAACCATAGTATGTAGTAACAAGACTTAAACTGAGACGAATCCTTAAATAGCTGTACTCCTTACTTGGGATGGACATACAATAGTTGCAAGTTTTCTGACAACTATTAAGAAGAGAAGAGGACTACCACAACATGTAGCTAGTCTGCTCCCTCGTGCGAGTATTTTACAGTATAGTTGCCTTTTGGGATCTATTTTGTGGCATATACGAAGGATAGCCGCGAAATTTCCAATCCGTGCATGCAATGTTAGCTCTGAGATAGTCTCGCAACTGGTCTCTTTAAACGCCATTAGAGAGGGTTCCCGTTACCGTAGTAGCTACCGTTATACGCCAAGGCCGATACAGCGTCATCACACGCGCGCTTAAGTAGCCTACGGTAGCCTGCATCTAAATGCCATAAGATGTGCGATGCAGATGTGTGAAAAGTCATGCAGGGAAGATGCATCATCTTCTTCCCCAGAAAATGCTGACATCATAGCTCCACCACACCATCGACACGCATCGCGCTGTCGCCAACGCCATCGGTGATGCGGCTCCCTGCATCTCAGGATCATCATCGCAATGTAAACGCCATTGATGCAGGAATTTGCAGTGGCCTAGGGAAAAAGCACGGCCATGAACAGCAAACAGCACAGAATCCCATCGCTGGGACCCATAGTAACGTCACCTCTCCCGCAAAACACGGGTATGCTGTTCTAAGGTCTAAGCGCATTGTTTGTGGAATATGGACATTACATCAGAGTTCCATCACGGTACATAAAAGACAAGCTCGGGTCTTGTGATTCTTTCTCTTCGCATTTGTATAAGAAAAAAGTAATCGAAATCAAACCCAAAAAACTACCACATCAAATCTCCCACCACCAAAAATGGCATCCAAATTCCTCCGTCTAAACCGCAACTTCCTCCTCGCCCGCCCAACCGCGCGGCCCACCTCTACACCACCATGTTCACTCCGCCAAAGCATAATCTCCGCCAACGACCTAAGCAACCACACCACCCGCCCCTTCTCCCTAACCTCCCATCAAGCCCTCCAAATCGACTCAAACTTCATCTCGCAAATCACCGCCGCCGAGAAGAAAATCACAGGCAGCGACAAGCCCGTCGCCAACGGCCCAACCGCAAAAGCCCAAGCCCACGTCGGCCAGACCCTCACCGCAGCCATAATCCACGACATCACCACAGGCGAGAAGCTCATAACAGGGCGTGAAGACCCCGTAAAAGGCGGTCCCACATCCATCGCTCAATCGGCCTTGACATCCGACAATACCAACAACAACAGTCCTAACCACTCTTCTGCAAATGCAACAACGACAACATCATCATCATCGTCGTCGTCATCGTCGTCGTCGTCGCAGCACTCCGGCACCCTAGACTCAGCCACACTGCACAAAATCACAGAGGCAGAAAAGAAACTCACGGGTCAGAACCAACCGGTTAAGGATGGTCCGACCGCGCACGCACAGAGTCATGCGAATGAGCCGATTACGAGCCAAGCGCTGCATGATATTACGGTGGGCGAGAAGAAGGTTACGGGTGGGGAGAGGGTAAAAGGGGGTCCGACGGCGACGGCGCAGAGTGAGTTGAGTAAGAGTCGGGCGTGAAAGGGCTTGGTTGTGCTATGAATCTTGTTGTATATACTTATCACCATGTGTTAATGAGTTAAAAAGAAAAGAAAAAGAAGTGTGGAGTAGGTTGCTTGTACGATAAGATTTAGTTAGAGTAAAGGGGTGGTGGATTGGGAAAAAAAAAGATAAACAAGGACGCACTAGATGTGATTGTATGATAATTAGAGTCATGATTGAACATTGCACGTAATGCAAAGACAAAGAAAACAACGGTATACACTAGCTGCCTCTATCCTCTGTCTCTCTCTCTTACTATCTAATATCAACCACTTTTCAGCCACCCAACGCCAAGGTTGGCCACGTCCTTCCACTTCTCAAAACTCTTCCTTTTGCTAAACCAATATGGGCGCTCGCTGATTCCGTCTAACCTCGCTCCCAGAAGCCTATCACCACTCGAGTCCGATTCCCCAAGTTCAGTATCCTCACGTACCTCGGCTTCCCGAAAGCCAAGCGCCGACTCGGCACCTTGTCTTGATCTTGCAGAATGCATTCTTTGCAAAGTATTAGTGTATTTGGAACCGACCACATTATTAGACCGAATGCGGCGCAGACCATCTTGAAGGTCTGCCGTCTTGCCGTGTCTCACACTGCTGTCATGTGTATTTGTGGGGAGCGTACGGTAGTCGAAATTCGAGTTTGCGCGGCGGAGATTGTACTTGCGGGGGCTTTGCTCAAGGGTTCTGCCTAGCTCTTTGAGGGTCTCGTCCCGGTCGCGAATGCGTTTGAGCGATTCCGTGCGAGGTGCTGCGAATGCGCGGCCTTGAACGGATCCAGAGGCATGCCGGCTGAGACGCGGGGGTGAATGATGTGATGTACGTTTCTCCTCGATCGCTAAAGCTACTTGGGTGACGGAGTTGGGTACTACATCGAGAGAGTTCTGCGACATGAGGTTCAATCGAGGGTAAAGAGGACAGAGTCTTGTGATGATACGCACCATGTGGATAAGCACAATCGGTAGCTGGACAGTGACAAGCCTTCTGCGCAGTGTCAGCTTGGCCTGTGAAACTTTGCGTGCATCCTAACGTGTGTGCGCTGTAGGCGATAACGTTGAGGAAATATCGGACTTCGAAATATTTCCCTGCGCTGTTAGTGTTCTGCCTTTGTCATGGCAGCAATGACATACCACATTTCACTGTAGCATACCCACGAGGAACTTCCAGGTCGCAGGTGCGGAGGTGAGTTTGGCCTGCAGCCACACCATGCCAGCCAGGTGAGCCATTCTTCACCATTGCTTTGCTCAAGATGGTACGCTCATTGCTGTCAAAGATACGCGACTGGCCTGCAGACTTCTCCATAGTGGATGCAGCAGCCTGCACACGGTTCTCATTAGCATCAGCAAGGGGTAATAGAACAGACTCTTGCTACAAACATGTTTGTAGCACAGTATGTCTCTCTCCAGCTGAAGCTCAATCTTCTTCACGGTCTTATTGCTGTTGTTGACAACATAAACATCGGCAAATATGTTCGTACCGCTGACCCAAACTTGGCGATGTATGCCTGCAGTGAGCCGGATGACCTCTACAGTCGTATCTCGGGGTCTGATCCACTCATCAGAGGCATTCAGTGGGCTGGGAAGCGAAACCAGTGCCTTTTCAGCTGTCCTATAGTCAGAGCCGCTCGGAATACAGGCATACTTAGGACATACGATCATACACGGGTAGTACAGTGACGTCTTCAGAGGTGCTAACAAGATGCCGCTTGCTCCGGTCCCGGATGAGCAGGGATGCATAGAGCAAGTATCGGATCCTCGCGTTCTTTGAGTAGAATGGAGAAGGTCCAACATCGAGCGGGAGACTAAGACTGAATGCAAGATTGGTAGTGGAAGGCACAAGATGCCAGAATGTATTTTCTGGGCCAATTGATTCCTGCGTGTCCACCATGTTCTGAGGTGGGGGATTCTCTTTGCCAATGAGCTCTGTAGCCAGGCTCAGGAATACAGCCCGCCTATTGCCGCTAGCTTCCTCAATTCCAAGGAGATCGATAGATATCTGAGCAATGTCTAGGGTTCGTCTGTGACGTACTCGCTCCGCATCGTCAATGTCTATTTGGACAGTCCCTTCAATACATCCTCCGCCAACGAATACTCCTGCGGATAAATCCAATCCAAGCTCAATTCGGGGATGGCGGTGTGCCGGATGTTCTAGGAGCGCTTTCGGTAAAGACTGGCGAATGAACGTCTTGGAGGGGATGCGCCCGTTGGTGTCATGTGCAACAGGGTTGAAGCGTGCAGCAGTGAGGCGAACAGGAGATTGAGATTGGCCATTATTAGGGATGATACTAGTCCTGCTTCTAGAAGGTGATAGGGGCCTTGCTTGTACCACGTTGAGTGTTTCTGCTGTTGTGCTGTGTATCATACTCTGGGGCAGTATTTGTTGTGTCTTCCGCATCCTGGAAACGCTCCGTACACGAAATTTTGACGATGACCGCGGAGGTATGTTGCTTGCAGAAACACTGGATATATTGGTTCGGTTGTTACAGTCTATGAAATGTTGTGATGATGGCGTCTCTGCAAATCTGCCTCGATGAACGTGTCTCAAGCCATCGCTCTCGACGCTGTTTCTGCTATCAGGCTCAGCGTTCTCCATATTCCGAACATCATTGCTGTGGCATTGTCCTGACGCGTCATGAGAGGGCGGTGACATTTCGGTTGGAGATGGGCAGTGGAGAGGTGTCTCGACCAAAATATCGCGTGACAAACTGTCAGCAATGGTCGACTCAGTTGCTTCGCGAATGTCTGATAGAGGTCGGGGCTTTGTACGAGAATCGACTGTTGAATGTGCCTTGGGCCCGCTGGTAGGACTGCCGATCATGCCGTTGCAGCTCAGAAATTGCGTGTTGTCGTATTCGGGTGACACAGACGGAGTCGCAACACCAACCGGATGTGGTGGAGGATAGAGATACTGGTTGGTATGTAATCTCTGCTCAGTATCGGATTCGAGTCCCTGCTCTCTTTAGCACACACTCGATCATCTCTGAGAAGGCCACTTCTGCCCACTTTCAGGGGGTTTAGATTGGTAATTACGAGACCTGACAGTAGTGAAGACGGGATGAAAGTCATACGAGACAGTGTCGATGCTGGGATATGTTGCTGGACGAGTAGAGGCCGTGGCCCTAGGGTTGCACAAGAAGAATGTGTACTGTGAGATGGGGGGTTATGGCAATTGGCAAGGCAGTGAAGTGGTGGTGAGGCAAGAGCATTGGGGGCATTTGCTCCTTCTACAGTCATCTCGCACAGCGTAGTCAAATCAGCAAGAGCGATGAGCAACGTCAACAATGGAGACATGCAATTTTCTACGAGGCATTGTGCAATTGTGTGAAGTTACAATGTACTGCGGTCCGCGGAATGTGGCTGAGGAGTGTTTCAAAGCATCAGCATAAACCATGTCTTCTTGCTCTAACAGTAGTAGTAGCAGTAGCAGCAGCAGTAGCAGTGACAGTGACAGCGGCAACAATGGTACGGTACCCATGGATAGGCGCCGGAGTATTATTAGCTGGAATCGTATGAGGAGAGTGACTGGGAAGGTGACGAGCGTGTTTGGGTGAGGGGAGGCGTGTGGTTGGAGACGAGGTTGCTGTAGGGCGCCCCCTGCTGCCATGTCGTTGGAGGTGCGAAGATCCAATTGAACCAGCGGGCCAGGCCTAAAGAGGCAAGTATATCCGGGGCATACGCAGCTCCGGCCCACTGCGGGCGCACAGGTGGAATTTGAACCTTTGTTCGCTGTGGCTCTGCAGAGGGTCGACGAGTGAGTGGCATGGCCAGTCTCGACCGTGTGCAGGTCAGGTGGGTGCTCAGGCGGACATTGCGGGCGACGACGCTACAGCTGGACGTGGTTAACGAGGCTCAGGCGGTGCATAAAAGCAACGGCTTCGGCGATCCCATGGCCAAAACTCGGTGTGTCTCGAGGGAGCCAAGGCGTTGGTAGTGATGGGCGTGACCCGGGGCTTTGGCGGCTTCCCGGCGGGAGCAAGTGCGCTGCCAGCCATGCCAGGCGTGCCAGCCAGGGCCGGTGGACAGAGGCCTGGTGCAGTGACATGGCCGGGACATGGACGAGGCAGGCGCGACGAGTTGCGAGTTGGGGGTGGTGATTTGGCTTTTGTCGGCGCCGGTCGGGGCATGTCATGCAGACAGCTATGGACGCGGACGGGTGCGCCCCCTCACTCCCGTCAGCCCATGTGTGCGAACGAGGAGAGGTGATATGCCGGCCGAGGAGGTCATCGGTATGTGCCAACCCAGGCCCGTCCGACGTCGGCCTCTGCCTGCCTTCTGACACGGAGCGAGCGCAACAGTGACGGAGCCGCGTGGCGCAGCGGGGCAGCGGGAGGGTGAGCAGCCAGGTGCGCAGGTGTGCAGGTGTACTCTAGTAGAGGGTTGCAGTGTAAGTAGTATGTGTGCAAGTAGGTATAGTCAGTACATGTGCGCAGAGCACAGCAGCGGGCTGGTGCGTTCATTACATATCGTCTGGTGGCAGCCAGCACTGTGGCGGCGCGTATGCGTGCGCTGGAGAAACCGGAGAAAGCAGTGCAAAAACTGGTGGTGGCGCGGGAGCTAGAGAGCCGCTAGGCCGCAAACGGCATGGCAGTCCAGCCTGTGAGCAACAGCCATGCATCTGTTCAGGGCTCCTCCACCAAGGCGTCGACTGAACGCACGCCCGGGCAGGCCCTGCCCATAGTCTGCCACCCTCGCTCGCTCGTGATGATGATGCTGATGATGCGCCGGTGCTGGTGCTGGTGCCGCTGCCCGCTGCCCGCTGCCCGCTGCCCGCTGCGCAGGCCCCCCCGCGAAGAGAAAAAAAACTTCATCGCGGCCAGCCAGTGCACTCTCATCCCGCCCGCTTGGCCGTCATAGCGAGCTGGTGCCCAGCGCCGGAGCGCCAACAGTGGCCATTTGCTGTCCGCCCGCCCGCCCACCGACAAAGCACTGCTGGGGCGGCCAGCCGCGAGTCTTAACCACACGGAGTCGAGCTGGCTGCGCTGGGCAGGGCAAAAGAACGTGGTCCGCCCGCCTTTTCAAGTCCAGCACTTCCGCCCCTCCGTTCGAGCCCATCTTCGTTTCCATTACCCAAGAGCTTACCTCACAACTACTGCGCGACCACCCACAGGCCCCAACCCTTTCTTCTTATCAGACATTATCAATCCCCCATACACACCGTATCCATTCCCCGTCCCGGCGCTGCGGCTGCCCACTGCAAGCGCGTCTAAGCGACCAGAGCCTCTTGTCCCCCCGACCGACCTGCCTTTGTCGCCTTTTCCCCATCTCTTGGCGCCCAACGGCCCCTCTATCAGGACGGAGGGGTGCGCTGGCCGCAGATGGGAGATAGTCTCGTAACAGATATGACGGCTCCCGTGGGCAAAGTAGAGGCTCAGCGCGACGGTTCGACTTCGTCTATCGGATCGTCGCCCGAGCCTGGCCTGGCCGAGCCATATCCCCAGGAAGAGCCCCAGCAGCAGAAGCGCAAAGGCGGCCGTAAACCTGTGAGCCCTCCCGCTACCAATCCAATTGCCGCCCATGACTGCAGCAGTCGCTACCGCGTCTATGATAGAACTAACAAGGCCTCGTAAGATTTATGCCACCTCGGAAGAGCGCAAGCAGCGGAACAGGCAGGCCCAGGCCGCCTTCCGCGAGCGAAGAACAGAGTACATCAAGCAATTGGAGAACACCATTAAGCATCATGAAGACACCCTCCAGAACCTGCAAAATAGTCACCGCAATGCCGCTGACGAGTGCCTTATGCTCCGGTATAAGAATTCTCTACTCGAGAGGATTCTGCTAGAGAAAGGTAGCCCTGACCCCGTTTTTACTCCCCCCCCCCCAAGACGTCTGATCAAGCAACACGCGCTAACCCGCTACTTCGCCTCTAGGCATCGACGTCCAGGCTGAGCTGCGCGCAAAGACTGGCAGTCCAAATCTCGGAGCCACCAGGCCTCCATTATCTGCACACGCCTCGCCTAATCAGGCCCCTCTCCAGCAACGTGCCATGTTGAATAGACAGCAGCAGAGGCGCTCGCTGCAAGGCCCGCCCAAGATTGACGCCTCCAACGGCTTACCCATGATCCAACCTGATGGCCCTATTCAGCGATCTCCCTTGACTCAGCCTACTCCGGGCTCTCATCTTTCATCTCCTGCTCAATCAGCGACCCGCTCGCCCAATTTCATGCCCCATGGTCAATCAGTATCTCCCAATTTTGGACCCATGCATTCACAACAGCAACAGCAACAACAGCAGCAGCAGCAGCCACAGCAGCAGCAACCACTTCGGCCACAGCCACCTAGATCGAACTTCACCCCTATGATGGGTGCTCAACGACCTTCACTAGTAACAAACCAGCCTTCTTCAAATGGCATGTCAAATGCTTCGACTGTCGGTAACAGCGGAAACGGTGTAGCACCGAACAACGGTCCTTCGTCATTCTACCAGACGCAGTTCACGGACCACATGAGTCAACTAGGCACGCTAACCCATTTCCTTTTCTTCCTTTCTACTTAAGTATAGGACTTTGTAATCCTAGGCTAATATCCTTCTACAGAGCAGGAGTATGAGGAACAAGCAGACTCCTACGACCACGACGATCCGAGCGATCAATCTGCCGGTCCCGGCCCATTTCCACAACAAAACTTCCCTCCTTCAAACAATATGCCTCCGCCAATGCCGCCTTCCCAGAACCCTCCCTTCACTAGCCCGGCCGCATTAGCACCAAACGACGGTGGCCAAGTCTTCAATGGCATGAGCAACAACCACCTCTTCGACCCTTACGATCCAATGCTCGACGCTGATCCATTCGGACTGTCCGCCAGCATGCACTTCCCCACCATGTACGAGAGCAGATGATGCTACGAGAACGATACGATAGTAAGAGAAGATTATTCCGGATGTCCACCAGGGACCGTGTAAAAACTCACCTATTCATACCTTCTTGACCACGTTGTTTAGCGGGCGCAACAACGGCTTTTACCTAACCGACCATGTGTCAATACCGTATGACAGCGTTCGATACGAAAGACCAGTCGCCTTGGGATAGTGATATTTAAAAGTTTTCATTCAATCTGTGGCTGGACGCGACAGTTGTATTTGTGACGGGAAGTTTTTTAGGCTCCGACCATGAGAAGTGGGCATGCTTTACCAAGCAATCCAGTCTTCTACTGTGGCACCGCGGCCTCTTGATTAGAGATTCAGTGTTGCTTTGTACATATTGTAATGCAAAGTCGGTCGCAACAGCCATTTTCGCCCCTCACCAAATCTGTCACAGGAACTTGATAATGATATTCACAACTAAAGGCAAGTTGGCTGATTGTTCATCTGCCACCTATTCTCACTCCAAAGCGGGGGTGCACCTGACTTTGTTATGGGTGAACTTCGACTTGCGTCTGAATGCGCACTTGGAATAAGCAAACCACTCAAAACCCTGCCGACCATTTTCGGGCGCCATGGGCCTGTAAAATAGAATTTCTGGACATGCAAAAAAAATCACCTTTGCCCCTCACAAGCGATAGTACAATAGCGTATCCAAGCGCCGTACGCGGCAGCATAGAGAGCTCCCTTTGGTGCTTCTTTGTGCCTTCTACGTATGGTCTGTGCCCCACTTGACTCGCTTACGGCAGCAACCCACGCCGATTTTCGAACCTCTTGCCCGCAACTTCGCGCCCATTACCCCGTTCGCGAGCCACATCTGAGAGCCACGTCCCTAACCACCGTAGGGAAGCTCTCGCATTCTTTTTTCCACCCGGCAGATTGTGCATCTAGAAGGGCAAAGCGCGAAAGGCGCTACAATCCGTCAAGATGTCTCAAATCGCTTCAAAGGTAAGCTCCCAGGCCACCCCACTGCGAAATCCAAATCTGCGCCTCGCAATTGGGAGTTGCAGTACCAGCTGCAGTCTTCTATTCAGTCCAATGGCTAACTCCAAGTGCAGAACATTTACGAGCTACTGGGTACGTCTGGATACATGGCACAGTCGCAGAACAAACACTCATGACCCCGCAGGCAATGACCCTGAGCTCGACCCCAACAGGCCGGCTGACCCGCCAACGAGGGCAATTGAGAAGCCCGTCATGAGGCACGGCAAGCGCGATGGATCCGACCTCCCCAAGTCCATCCCCGAGAGGCAGAGCCACCAGAACCGTGCCAAGCAGACCGACAACGCCAACGAGAACGGTATGTCAGACATGCCGGGTTCTGGAGATACATTAGAACCTCCGCAGACCATCCGTACGAACAACGGCTAATGAACCACAGCTTTCCGGGATCGTGGCGTAGGATCTGACAAGAACCGCGGAAGGGGATCTGGTGGTAAGTGGAGATCCAATGGTCGGTTAGTGTCGATGCTAATCCCAACTAGAACCCACTGGCACTGGAGCTCGCGGCGGCCAACGCGGTCGTGGTCGTGGTGGACGCGGTGGAGGTCGTGGTGGTGCCCGCGCCGAGGGTGACCGTCACAGCAGGACCGGTATCAGGTGAGCAATGTCTCCTCTTTTCATCCCACTTCAACCAGACTAATATTTTCTAGCGAACACGACAAGCAAGTTGCTCACGGCTGGGGAGGAAAGGACGGCGACGCTGAGTTGGCTGATGAGCAGGCTGGTGAGGCCATCGCTCAGGCTGAAGAGAAGGACGCTATCCGGGAAGATGCCGAGGGCGAGAACGCCGAGCCCGAGCCCGAGGACAAGAGCAAGTCCTACGCTGCCTACCTTGCTGAGCTGGCCGAGAAGAAGCTTTCTCTTGCCGCCCAGAACGTTCGCAAGGCCAACGAGGGCAGCAGCCAGAAGTTCCCCGAAGGTACTGCGCTCTCCCGCGACGACCAAGAAGACTTCATCGCTGGTGGACAAGGCAAGGCCAAGCGCGAGCGCGCGCGCAAGGAAAAGGTTCACGTTGAGCTCGACGGTGACCGTATGCTTGCTCCCCCTCCCCGTGAGGGCGGCGGCCGAGGACGCGGCCGTGGCCGTGGTGAATTCCGTGGCGGCGAGGGACGTGGACGTGGAAACGGCGAGGGACGCGGTCGCGGCGAAGGTCGTGGAGAGTTCCGCGGACGTGGCCGTGGCGGTGAGACTCGTGGACGTGGTGATGCCCGTGGTCGTGGTGGCCGCGGTGGTGCCCCCGGTCCCAACATCGCCGACTCAAGCGCCTTTCCCAGCCTCGGCGCATAGAAAGCGCCAGTACTCATTGCGGCCTGAAAGCTGGACGTGTCTGTGTCCAACGGTCTGTTGTGGATGAAACGAACGAATGAACAACAAGGCTATTTCACGACTGGATGAACCAACAGGGAGCTGAAGGACGATATCAAGCATCTTTGAAAGAGAGGGCACCGGGATGTGAATACGTTTCATTTACCGGTATCAAAAAAATGTAGTCAACTTGAGCTCGACCCTTTTTGCGTACGTGTGTTTGATTGTTTGATTCATTATTGTCTGGCGTGATGTATTTGTAGTAGTGGTTTTTTTTCTCTCCTTGATTGAGAGAAGTACATCCTTTAGGGAGGCACCTTTCCTTACGATAACTGACCGCTATCAGTTACTTTAGTTGCACAAGTTGATGCTTTACGGCGGCAAGAATATGTTTAGTAGTAGCAAAGTAATTCCAGCTCGCTGTATACATATGTCTCTTTTAAGGAAACAGAATAGATATTTGAGCGAGGACATGGCCCGCATATTCCTTTTTTTTCTTTGCTGCTGCTGCTGCTACGTTTTACACAAACGACCATGATGAAAGAACAAAAAAAACATGGAATTTGATAATATTTCCCCATCTACACTAGTACTTGATTGCGTGTGTATACGCCAGAGCAGAAGAGAGAAAAAATAAATAAATAAGAAATGATGCAGAGAAGATGGTAGTACAGAGAAGAAAGTTTTTTTTTGACAATGTTGAATCTTATATTGCTAAAGGAGGAGGGGGGGTTGCGGGTTATCTTTGGTTGGAAAGGTAGTACGGAAAAAAGAAAAAGAATAATGGGAGGTTGAGAAGAAGAAGAAGAAGAAGAAGAAGAAGAAAATAAAGAAAGTAAAGTGTAGGGAATTTGCATTTGGGGGGAGGGAGGGAGGGATAGCGGTTATGTAAGGGGGTATGAATGATGCGGTAAGGATCAAAAAGGGGGCGTATTATGGTATACCTCGATGCGTAAAGAAAAAAAAAGGGGGGGGGGGGGGTGATTGATTGAGTTGTAGGGAAGTTGCGTATAGGGGAGGTTGGGAAGAGAGAGAGAAAAAGAAGAAGAAAAAAAAAGAAATCTAGAGTTGTTGTGTCAAGGAAGTTGCGAATATCATTCTAGACCCGTAGGTGCAGTAGTTACTACTGTTTGTGTTCATTTATTTACACTGGATATGTGTAATCGTTGATATTCCCCCATCATAAGCCGCGTTTCCAAACGTCAATTTCCTTATTGAAGAGCAAAAGATCCCAAACACCAATTCATGCCGCATAAAGCTTCAAGAGAGAGAGAGAAAAAAAATGACACTGCAAATCTATATAACTATTCGACTCTGCGCCTCTCTCTCCGTTCCTCGAGTCTTTGTATCCGCTCTTTGTGCTTCTCGACGCCCATGTCCCGCGCAATGATTAAAACGTCTTTGCAGAACTCGCAGACGAGTAGGTTGCATTCGGAGCAGTCGTAAGCGATGTTTCTTCGAAGGTCAGGAGTGAGGGTAGTTGAGTTTGGAGATGCCGTATTGAAAAGCGGGGATTTTTCTTTCAGGTCGTTGTTTGATGGCAATGTGTAGATGTCGTGGTAATCGTGGTCGTCCATTGATGCACGGCGCTGCTGCTGTTGTGGTTCAGCTGGGAAGATGATGTTGCCGTAGATATCAACAATTGATTCGCAATGCCGGTTCAGGTATTGTGTAAGCGGCGATTCATTGTCAGGTGCGCTTTGTGAGAGAGGAGAAGGTGCCGCGGTGGGCTGACAAATCGTCGCTCCCATTGTGGTGTTGTCATTGCGGAAGAGATTGCGTGGAGGTTTGTATTCACCATATCTCCTCCTCCCGCGACCATGCTCTCTGGAAATCAATCGCTCTGTACTTGTGTCATTCACTCTTGACCCCAGAGATATCGTCTGGGCCTGCCCCATCGACGAAACACGGGGCGGCTCTCTGATTACTGGATATATTGTACGCCAACACTTCACGCACTCCAGCGTTGCGTCCGAAGAGTTTGTAGTTAGAGCCTGTTCCAAATCGATCTTGTACGGGTTGAAGGAATGGAAGCAGTTCCAAGCGCGGTCCGCGAAATCCTGACCTGGTTCTTCGCCAAAGTCCAGGGCTTGCCTTGCCCAGTATGAAGCAGTCCCCCTATCGAGATTCACGGCTTCGGCCGGTGGTGCAACACGTGGCTCAGTATCTTGCTGTTCTCCTTGCGCAGAAGATGTTTCAGGTGACTCCGATGACTCCGACATGCTCTCGTTGTCGCTCTCATGTTCATAGTCTTCGTCGTCGAAACAATCTTCTCCGCAAAAATCTGGATGACCCATGCAACTATAGCAAAAATGGGCTCCGCAACGGCACTCCATATGTCTGCATCCAAACATACGCTTGATCCCATGCCGGCATTTTGGGCACTGCTTGTAACCCCAGCTCTTCAGAAGTCTAGTGGTCTCTTTGTCGATGCCAAACTCGGAGACATTGCACGCACTGGAAGGGTGTGCAGTCAGTCGGCAGTCTGCGCAGATGCTTGATTCGCAAGCATGACATGTAAACGTCTTTGAAATTGGAATTCCGGCCTCAGAATCTGTTCGTTTTCTGTCTGTTTTTATCTGCTCGGGAAGAAGTCGTTCCGGTATGAAAACTGAGCATGTAGGTATGGGACAATAGAAGGGGTTTGGAGTCAACCACTCCTCATGCTTTGCTTTGAATACAGCGATTTCTTCTCCAGTCAGATGAGGCCTTGCGTGGTGTAACTGGATCGGGCCGCAGCATCGTGGCGGCATGCGCGTCATATTGTTACAAGCTTCGATAAACAAATGCCTGATACATGATCCGCAATATACACTATCACAATGCTTACAGGGATTGAAAAACTTGTCCTTTTCGTTAGGCAGCGCTGTACAACAAGTGATGCACTGAACGGTGGACTCTTCCAAAGTATTGCTAGGCTGCGGAGGTGTCGGAATGGATGGGACTGTTGCGACGACGGGCTCGTCGATTTGGTCATCGGGGAGTTGAATCGACATGAGGCAACGCTCTGCGAGGAACAGGCTGAAGGCGGCAGTAGGTTCTTGTGTTGTTTCCATCGTCGTGGTGGGCGCGCTGTTCCGCCTTTGGCAGACTATCGGCAATGTGGCTGAAGATGTGATTGCAATGTCGTCGTAGGAGAAAGGTCGTGATAGTTGCGGTGCACTTTCTTTGCACTCTTGTGGTGTGTCCGCGTGTTCAGCCTTGTGAGAGGTAGGCGCGCTGCCAATAGAGGCCTCAGCTTTCGCGGGCGGCCGCACCGCCCGAGAGAGTTTGCAGCCCATGGTGAAGGTGATGGTGAAGAAGTTTGTGACTTCATAGCCTTGGGCTGAATACAAGCGTTATATGATAAGGCATGCGTATGAGCTTGACTCGAAAAAGGCTGTTGACTCAAACTAAGGCGGTGCTGCCTTGCGACTGCCTTCAGCCTTCCGGCATGGTCGGCCTGACCAAAATGTTGTCAAGAGAATGCGTCCCCAATCCCATCCTGACTGCAATGATAGCATCGTGCCTGAAAATGGATCCAGACGACATCTCGATGGCCTATGACTGAACAATTCTCGTCTTGGCGGAATTATGATGAGGCTGAGCGGCACCCGAGAGCTTCAGCCCTTGGAGAAGCACTGCCCGGTTCTAGGGCTGGTGCAGTGTCAGGCAGAGGCCTTGCGCCCTTTTCAAAGCCTTTCGAGGGCGGTGAGGAGCTTTCGCGTACATATATATATCGACTCAGCTCTCAAGCAAGAGGTATAGGGGAGGTAATGTTTACTTTGCATCAACAAGTCACTCCAAGTCCGTGCATGGCCTGCCCCCAGCGTCTAGCAAAAGTAGTGGTAGTTATGCCCGCCTTTTCTAGCAGCCCCACTACCTTTACTTTTGCTCGACGCCGTTAGTCACTGTTTCATTCTTCCGTCGAGGTGCTTTTGCTGCTTTTGGTCTAGGCCCGAACGGCGTGCATCAGACGGCTGTTTTTTCGGGCGGCGGGTTTGATTACGCGTATGTTCAACCTTTGCAGAACATGTACTATTTGCGTGGGTTTGCGGGCTAATTTAAGCCTCAAAAATTGCAGGGTCAGCGGCGCTGTATTGATTTTTCTCGTCGCCAACACAATGAGCAAGGAGCGTGTTGCATGTTTACTTCCATGTGGTAGCCTTGGAAATAGGCTTACTAGAGATGGTCCGAGCCTTTGTCGAAGCGATTGGATGCCAGCACATCTTAACTTCCGCCCAAGCCGTGCAAGACGGTCCCCGAAAGCCGCAATCTTGGTACAACGTCTTGTTCAGAATTGAATAAGCGCAATTTTTTTTTTGCACAGAGCCCGCCTGGAACTTTATGTACATACTCGTCCTCCCTAGCGACAATACGAAGAGCTAATATGGTGCAGAGGATAACGGCGGGGTGCTCAGCATGGTTGCATTACCATGTTTCCTCTGAGGAAGCGAACCAGACTGTCATGTCAAGAGTCAGGTGTCCAAGCAAGTTTTCAACAAGTCTACGGGGATGCCAAGCGTGAAGTTCTAGAAAATGACGCTAGCAAGCCGTCTCCATGCGGGGTACCAGGGCATTGGCCAATGCGGCGGCTTCTTGGGTGGCAGAGAGGTACCATGATGATTCTTCGTCGTTGATGCACAGCGGTGCGCCCCTTTGCTAGCGGACCAAAGATGAAGGTTGGCTACCATGATGTTCGTCCGAGGCTCGTATTTGAAGTCGAAGTAATCAGAGAGGAATATAGAGAGTATATACTCCGATGTGCGACAGGGGCAGAGGCTGTTTTGTAAGCATAATCCTAGGACTGTCGGCAAATGGGGAAGGCACAAGGCGCGGTTTGTTTGTAACCCCCGATGTGATGCTGAGGTTGCTGCGGTACCTTGTCCCATCTTCGACTTTGTCGCGACAACAATGACAAGATGTGGGAAGGCCAAGTCAGCCGCTATTCCTGATCACATGCCGAAGGGCTCCGACGGCGCGCAATTCCGGTAAGCGTAGACGCGATGCTACTTGGAGACCGAAGCGTGGTACCGAAGGGCCAACATCGGAGGCGGCGTGTCGGTGACGTGAGTGACTTTTTACATGTACTACTTGCCAAGGGTGGAGTAGTGGAGGAGAAACTGGAGCCGTTTTGCTCGGTGCTTACTGCATCACCCAGTGGAACAGGATGCTAAGACGCGCATGGCGACCTACTGTATACTAGTCTCTTGGTCACCAATCCAACGGCCATTGTCCAGACGCCCGTCTGGGGTGGGCACGACGGGCAATGTTCCCCAAAAGGAATTGCCGAAGTATAACCAGCGCTTGTATGCAGACGCTGTGGAGGCTGCAGATCATGGCAGGCCAGGCTCCGGGGAGCAGTTGACGGCATGTCATGTCCCCAGGTAACAGAGCATCGGTCAATGGTAACTTGCCGGCAACAGGGCGGCAGACAGACACAGAGGAATAGTTGAGGCAACAAGTGCTCGTTGACGACAGGGACCCCGCATGCTGGGCGGCGTGCTGGGCTCGAGGGAAATGACACGGGCGGCCAGATAGCGCACAATCCAACCCTCCTTGTCAGAGTTTGGACGGTTGTGTGGCGTCCAAAAAGGCTTCGGAGGAGGAGCTTGTGTGCACGTCCGAGGCTGGTAGATGACGATGTACAAGGCCCTGTGTACGGCTCGTGCATTGGCCGAGCGCCCTACTTGAGTGCAGATGGATGGATGTGCAGTCGATGGCCTCGCAGTGTGGATGCATGGGGAAAGGGAATCCAAGGAAATGTCGACATGGCGATGCCGACTTTGCGGTCCTGTGCAGCTGTTCGGCAGCCCTTGGATACATCCATGTCCAAAGCCGAAGCCGACGTCGAGCCAGCAGCCAACAGCACCACGGCCTCTTGGGCGTTCAGAGGGAAATGCGGTGCCCCGGGAGGAGGAGGAGGAGGAGGAGACCCCAGACTCCAGGGGGGGCGGGGCAGGGGTCAGCAGGCAATGGTGCAGATGCATCATGGTCCCCGCAACCAGAGCAATCCTGGACTGCCGCTTGCGCCTGGGGATGCGACGGGGCAAGGCGCATGGTGCTAGCATGGAGACAGGTCGTTGGGGTCGATCTGCCCTTGTCCCTTGCTTGGGCGCGCAATCAAATAAAGCTACCATGATGCCCCAAGGTTTTTTCTGCACTGTGTCTGCGACTGCATTCAAGTCCTCGTTGCGGATTGCCTCACAAGTAGCGTCTGTTGCTGTGTTGCTCGTACCTCTGCTTCTGCGTTCCCCAGTCACCCAGACGCCATCATGCTGTGGCTTGCACAAGCATTGTTGGTCGGCCTTGCCCAGGTACGTCCAAACCAACGCCACCACGCCTCCATGCCAACAACATGACTCTGCCGACAATTGCACTCTGGCCCTGCCCAGCCGCTCTGCAATTGCACTCAAACACACTCTTTGCGCCCTCAGACTGACAATGACCAAAAGGCATCGCCCAGATTCCCTCGTGCTACCAACGACACGGGCAGTGGTTCTTTGAACAATGCCCAGAGCCCGCCATACTACCCAAGTCCGTAAGTATATTCATTCTGGTTGTCAGTTGAAAGACCCTGGTTGCTGCAAGTAGTGCATTCGGCACTTGTTTTGCGGGCGACGGCTGCGCCTTGCAGGCCCTAGCCATGGCGCCACCCAAACTCGACGACGTAGACCCTGATATCTGCAACCTCTCTCTAACTGTGCACCAGTTGGGTAGATCCCACCACCAAAGATTGGGCGGCTGCCTACGAAAAGGCAAAGGCTTTTGTCAGCCAATTGACTCTTCTTGAAAAGGTCAACCTCACAACCGGTACTGGATGGCAGAGCGACCACTGCGTCGGTAACGTGGGCGCTATTCCTCGTCTTGGCTTTGACCCTCTCTGCCTCCAGGACAGCCCTCTCGGCATCCGTTTCGCAGATTACGTCTCTGCTTTCCCAGCAGGTGGTACAGTTGCTGCGTCATGGGACCGCTATGAGTTTTACACCCGCGGTCACGAGATGGGCAAGGAGCACCGGAAGAAGGGCGTCGACGTTCAGCTTGGTCCTGCCATTGGACCTCTTGGTCGCCACGCCAAGGGCGGTGTAAGTTTGCTACAGTACTTGGTTTTTTTTTAAAAAAAAACACATTCACTGACAAGCTTGTAGCGTAACTGGGAAGGCTTCAGTCCTGATCCTGTGCTCTCGGGTGTTGCCGTGGCCGAAACGGTCCGCGGTATCCAGGATGCTGGCGTCATTGCCTGCACCAAGCACTACCTTCTGAACGAGCAGGAGCATTTCCGTCAGCCTGGCAGTTTCAAGGACATCCCATTTGTCGATGCCATCAGCTCCAACACCGATGACAAGACTCTGCACGAGCTGTACCTGTGGCCCTTTGCTGATGCTGTCCGCGCTGGTACTGGTGCCATCATGTGCTCTTACAACAAGGCCAACAACTCGCAAGTCTGCCAAAACTCGTATCTCCAAAACTACATTCTCAAAGGCGAGCTTGGATTTCAGGGTTTCATTCTGTGAGCATACCGATAAGGTTCATACGAAGAATATTGGCGACTAACTTTATGCTCAGATCTGACTGGGACGCACAGCACTCGGGTGTTGCCTCGGCTTATGCCGGTTTGGACATGACCATGCCCGGTGATACTGGATTCAACACTGGACTGTCCTTCTGGGGCACTAACCTGACCGTCTCAATTCTCAACGGCACCATTCCTCAGTGGCGTCTCGACGATGCGGCCATCCGTATCATGACTGCATACTACTATGTCGGCCTTGACGAGTCTATCCCCGTCAACTTTGACAGCTGGCAAACTAGCACGTACGGATTCGAGCACTTCTTTGGAAAGAAGAGCTTCGGTCTGATCAACAAGCACGTTGACGTTCGCGAGGAACACTTCCGCTCCATCCGCCGCTCTGCTGCCAAGTCTACTGTTCTCCTCAAGAACTCTGGCGTCCTTCCCCTCTCTGGAAAGGAGAAGTGGACTGCTGTATTTGGAGAAGATGCTGGCGAGAACCCATTGGGTCCCAATGGATGCGCTGATCGCGGCTGCAACTCTGGCACGTTGGCCATGGGCTGGGGTTCAGGAACTGCAGACTTCCCTTACCTCATCACTCCTCTCGAAGCCATCAAGCGCGAGGTTAACGAGAACGGCGGCGTGATCACTTCAGTCACCGACAACTACGCTACTCTGCAGATCCAGACCATGGCCAGCAGGGCCAGCCACTCGATTGTTTTCGTCAACGCCGACTCTGGTGAAGGCTACATCACCGTCGATAGTAAGTTTTGTCTGTTCACCGGATAGATATTGTCTTTTGCTAACTTTGGACCACAGACAACATGGGTGACCGCAACAACCTGACTGTGTGGGGCAATGGTGATGTGCTCGTCAAGAACGTCTCTGCTCTGTGCAACAACACCATTGTGGTTATCCACTCTGTTGGCCCAGTCATTGTTGACGCCTGGAAGGAGAACGCCAACGTGACTGCCATTCTCTGGGCTGGTCTCCCTGGCCAGGAGTCTGGTAACTCGATTGCTGACATTCTGTACGGACACCACAACCCTGGTGGCAAGCTCCCTTTCACCATTGGCAGCTCCGCCGAGGAGTATGGCCCTGATGTCATTTATGAGCCCACGAACGGCATCCTCAGTCCCCAGGCCAACTTTGAAGAGGGCGTCTTCATTGACTACCGCGCATTTGACAAGGCGGGCATTGAGCCCACGTACGAGTTTGGCTTTGGTCTTTCGTACACGACTTTTGAATACTCGGATCTCAAGGTCGCTGTGCAGTCTGCCGAGGCTTACAAGCCTTTCACCGGCCAGACTTCGGCTGCCCCTACGTTCGGAAACTTCAGCAAGAACACCGAGGACTACCAGTACCCTCCCGGCCTTGTTTACCCCGACACGTTCATATACCCCTACCTCAACTCAACCGACCTCAAGACGGCATCTCAGGATCCCGAGTACGGCCTCAACGTTAGCTGGCCCGCGGGCTCTACCGATGGCTCGCCTCAGGCCCACATTGCGGCTGGTGGTGCGCCCGGTGGTAACCCCCAGCTCTGGGACGTTCTGTTCAAGGTCGAGGCCACCATCACCAACACTGGTGATGTTGCTGGTGACGAGGTGGCCCAGGCGTACGTCTCGCTTGGTGGCCCCCACGACCCCAAGGTGCAGCTCCGTGGCTTTGACCGCTTGAGCATCAAGCCCGGCGAGAGCGCCGTCTTCAGTGCCAACATCACCCGCCGTGATATCAGCAACTGGGACACTGTCAGCCAGAACTGGGTCATTTCCGAGTATCCCAAGACGATCCACGTTGGTGCCAGTTCGAGGAATCTTCCTCTCTCTGCCCCACTGGACACTAGCAGCTTTAAATAGATGAGGCCTGCTATGGTGGGAAAAGCAACAAGGAATCTACTAACAGCCAAAAAGTTGCTGTTATAATTCGTTAATTTTGATTGGCTTAGATATACATGTACACATCTAGCTGTTATAAACAAGTTATTTTTTTATTCAAACAAGGTCAATTGCCGCATTTGACGAAGTGATTGTATGTGTGTGTGTATGCATGTAGAAAACCAAGGTTATTTTTTTTTTGCAGTCCACGTGGGATGACGAGCGTCAAGGATGAGGGGTAGCAAACAGGCAGCAAACTTGGGGCCGCTCACGTGACGAAGCTAGCAAGGACAGTCAGGCGGTTGCAAAATCTTGCTCCTACGCACGTAGTATGTGTGGGAGTGGACAATGTTCGGATGCTTAATATGTGAAATATGTGCAGTCTCTTTGTAGCCATGGTTCTGATGACGGAGCCATAAACAAGGGCATTGTTTGACAGCGGGCGGGCGCAATGCTGGTTTGCACGCGTCACTGAGTCAGCACTTGGGGGATGGATGGGGCAACGATTGGCGACTGGTTCGTGTGGTGTGTGGCGGCGCATGCGAACGCTTTGGTTAGCGGCAGCGTCATTGTTGTTGTCAGTGCGCGGGCGATGATGGTGGTTGTGCGTTGGACAGGACATGGGCAGAGAGCATCGCGCGCGGGACAAACACGGCGTTGACGGTATGCCTGGAGAGAAGAGAGGGAAGCATATGTCCGTGTCTAGGTACTGTACACAGCTGGTGTTTGACCAGCCACATTCGTCCGGCGAGCTTGTCCTTGGTGTGCCGTCGCCGGCTCCTCCGTATGTGTAGCGTGAATATTGACACAACGGGGTGCGCGCACGGATGCCGGGCTGGGGGAGAGCAGAAAGCATCGGGCAGGCCAGCGACGTAATTCGTCTCCTTGGGCCTCCTGCGGCTCTGCGACTATCTCCACGCCCTCGATATCCGTCTATCGATAGCTATCCTCTTGCTTCCCCCCCGAACCCTACCCTTTGGCGCGTCTGGCCCCCAAAGTGCTGGTCATCACCCTCTGCCCTCTTCCCCCGCACGCGTCGCTGGCCCTCTTGCTTGCTGTGCCATCCGCGCCCATCGTCACGCCCGCGCTAGCTGTTCCGTCGCGTCGTGGAATAACAAACACCACTGAGCAACCACGACGACGCTTCCGCCGCCCACCGTACGCCTCCTTCTCGCTTCTTCCACTCCACCACCTCCACCACCCTCCTCCGCGCCTGCGACCTCCCCCCCTTCCGCTGCCCCCCGCCGCTGCCGCCTCGCCAGTTGCTCTTCGCACCGTGCGCATTGCATTAGGAACTGGGCACCGACGTTTCGCGGTAAGCACCCAGTCCTTGCTCGTCTGTGTGTGTGTGTGTGCGTGTGTGCGCGCGCCTGTGTCGAGTCGCAGGTGGGGCGCAAGCCATTCGCGCCTTCATGGCTCGCTGGCCACACCCATGGTTCAGCGCCCTGCAAAACACACATATGCAATATACAAAACATAGCCCTCCCGCTGCATGCACTCGCTGACCGTATTGCTTCTGGCACAGTCTCCCACGCGCATGCACCATGTCGACCCGCCGCAGTGGACTCCGCTCGCGCAGAGAGCCCCAGCAGCAATCTGACCCCGACACGCCAGATGCCACGCCCTCGCGGAAGCGCAGGCGGGTGAGCAGCCCAACAACTACTAGTGTTGCGGCCAACTTGTACTCACTCGCACAGTTGAACGGCTCTGCCCAGGACGAAGCTGCCTCGGCTGCCGCAGACCCTCCCCGTACCCGCATCACCGAGTCCGTCGCCAGCAACGACTCCAACACGACGCTCCCCAACGGCGGCGATGCAGAGAACAACATGGACCCCATCGAGCGCCAGAACCTCGTCATTGCCGCTCTCCGCACCCCCGCATACACGCCCAATGCCGCCATCGACTATGCAAACGACCTGCAGTCGCAGCGCAACGAGGGCAAGAACATTGCCGCCTTTGCAAAGATTGCTGCGCGTGACTGGTGCTTCTTCGTCCAGGACACACAGGTCAGGATTGGCCGTGTAGACTCCAGCAGCCGTGCCAACCCCCAGAGCTCCCAGGCCGACCTTGCTGGCATGCCCATGAGCGACTCGCAGCGCCAGGATTGGGGCGTACATATTGACCTTGGCCCCGAGCGCCAGATTTCCCGTGTTCATGCAGAGATCAACTTTGACCCCTCAGACCAGAAATGGTACATTACAGTAAACAGCCGCAATGGTCTCAAGCTCGACGATCGCCATCTCACTAGGGGAGACAGGGCCGCCCTGCATTCTGGCATCTGCATCAGCATCATGAGCACCCAGATGCTTTTCCTCCTCGCCAACCAAGAGGACCACTTTCACCCGATGCTATGGCGCCAGGTCAAGAATGAAGATGCTGCCGAGTCTGACAATGACGGTAACCCGCCACCGAAGTCTCACCAACATGCACACCCTCCTGGCCCGACACCAAAGCGGGATCAATATGATCCGTTTCCACCATCCTCGCACCCTCGCCATAAGCACCAGTCTTCGCAAGCCTATTATAACCAGATGACATCTACTCCGGGTGGTCAGCCAGGAACGCCCATGACATTTCGTGCCGACAAGGACCCCCGCAGCAAAGGCTCCCCTGCCACCTTCTCCCGGTCTGTCGTTCTGGATACAGGAGACGACATTGACTACAGTCTAGACTCAACCAAAGATATCAAGCCACCTCATAGCTATGCCCAGCTCATCGGTCAAGCAATTTTGAGCAGCGAGGAGGAGATGCTTACCCTTGCCAACATTTACGACTACATCAAAGCTCGCTATGCATTCTTTCGGCACACCAACAGTGGCTGGCAAAACAGCATTCGCCACAACCTATCCCTGAACAAGTCGTTTGCAAAGGTCGCACGTCGTACGGATGAACCGGGAAAAGGTATGAAGTGGAAGATTGCCGACAGCGAAAAGGAGGAATTTATTAAGAAGCAGCTTCTCAATCCTCGCAAGGGTGGCGGTATGACCATAGGGTATCGCATCGACGGCTCAGGGCCTAGTTCGCCTGCACTTGGAAATCCAACCCAGGCCACCGAGCGTCTTGTGGGTGCCTTGGAGCGCGACAATCGCTCTCAACAATACGCTCCTCGCATCAAGTCACCCCCACGCTCTGCAACGCCTCCACTTTCCTCCGTCCCTGTCGCAAACGAGTCATATACCCCAGATCGTGGCCCACGTCCATATGGAGGATTCAAGCAGTCCCCAAACACCCGTGATCAGGATCATCGTTTTGTCACTCCTGCGAAGCGACTTATGTATGGGAGCAACGAGGGACAAGGTACTTATATCAAGCAGGACGAATCCCAACGACACCTCGAGTCTTCGCCTGGGGTAGACCCTGTCAAGCAAAGTGTTCCTGGGATGAAGACCGATGTAGGAAACTCTCCGCCAACTCTGTACTCTGATGCTGCCTCCAATAGTATGGGCGGCAGCTATGATACAGGTAGGGTGAACAATGCACTTGTCACACCCTTGGTTACAAGGCATGCACCTCGCCTTGCGCCTCCCAGCACTGCCCAGATGCCTAGCCAATACATGGCCTTCTCCAGCCCTGCACCCTTTTGGAAGTTTGTCGATCTCCCTAGCACGCCTGCCAAAGGACCCCTTGAGCTCAGTCCAATCAAACTCCAGCGTCCGGATTTCAAGGATGGTGACGACGAAGACGACAATCACCCCAGCTCGCCGCCTATGCTACCAGGCAGGAGTGCCGAGCCTGAAGATGACCAAGATCAGGATGGTGAATTGAAGGGTGAGGACGATGAGGATGCTGGTCCGGAGAGCCCAAGCCGCACAGTTTCTCGACCCGTCAGCCGGCGCGAGATTGGAAGCCAACGGTCACGGTCAAATAGTAATGTCAATGGATTAGGTCTGGGAATTGTAGGCAACGGCGGAATGGTACGAGGAGCAAGTCTGGGGAGTTTCGAGGAAGAAGCAGAGCCCGAGGAAGAGAGCTACGATCTTTCCAAGTACGTACTTGTCCCACACCTCCTCCGCCTTACCACTTTTGTGGTATAACCTTCCTTAGTTTATAAATGAAAAGAGCCAATCAACTGACCAAAATTGCAACCAAATAGGGGTTTCCAGAAGATCGGCTCATTCCATCGTAGCATGGCTCAAGCTCATGGCCTGGGTAGTCTTGGCGGTCGATCAACTGCTACACCGCCGCCTCCGCCCCCGCATATTTCGCGCACAAGCGTCCCTGCGAACATGTAAGGGAGGCGCGGAGGAGTGGGAGTAGAGGAAAGAGAGACAGCCACAGACGGCCCTGAAATGAGAATGATTACATGCAAGTATGAGCACGAACGAGATATATCGATATCGGAACCTTTTCTGTCATGGGAAATGAAAAAAAGGGCGTTTTGAACGGGGGGAGGGGTTTGGAGAAGGGTGTGATTGTGCTTCGTTTTTCTTCTCTCTCTCTTTCAAATTCGGGTACTTTGCATGTGTTGTTTGATTAACTTTTCGGGTCCTTTTCTTCCCTTTTCATCATCACCATCATCACCATCATCACCATCATCACCATCATCACCATCATCACCATCATCACCATCATCTGATTCGGTCTGTATAAAGTCCATCTTATTTTATTTTTTTCGGCAAGGGCATGGTCAGGTCAGGTCGGGTCAGGTCGGGTCAGATGAGGAATCCACATCTTTGTATGACTAGCATCATTCATTTTTTCTTTCCATCAAGGGGTTATTTGTTTCTTTTTTGGTCGTTTTTTTTTGTTACCTCCCGGGGAAAAGGGAGATGGAGAGGGGGACTGGCTAGACTACTCCGCTATGGCGTTATTCGTTGTTGTTGTTGTGCATATGAAGAAAGTGTTGTGGGGTTTGACGAAAATGGGGGGGGATAAGGATGAGGTGGAGAAGGAGAAGCGATCATCGTTGTTGGTGATATGTATATTTGTATCTTTACTATTATGGTCACCTTTTGGGTCTGGTTGTTCTTGTCGTCCGTCCGTGATGCATGGGTTGACGCTAGAGAAGAGGACGAGTGGTGTGGAATAGGCATAGCCACGAAATAAAGAACTCATCACGAACACACATAACACGCTTGGACATATCACTTCCTTGTTCTCGTTCCTATTCCTCATACTTTCTGGACCTGGAATTTTACCATGTATACACACACCTATATCATTGTTTCTCCTGTCCTTCTCCACCACCTGCCGCCCATCTAGTTGATCTGCCTATGAGGAAACCACTTGCTCGGCTTAAGATTCTTCTCCTCAAGTGGAGCATCCAAAACACCCAGGCGCCTTATCTCACCCGCAGAAGGTGCATCGTCGCGTGTTATGTTGGCTTCGGCCTTGCGGTAGGCGGCTTGCAGGGCAAGAGTGCGTGCGGCCTGTTTAACACATGTGTAAGTCTTGGTATTGGAGAGTGATATGTATATATATATATATATATGTGTGTGTGTGTGTTGAGTGAGAGGGGAAAAAGGGAAACACAGACCTCCTTCTTGTGGTGAAGACACTCGTAGTAGTCTTCAAGAACGGGGGAGCATTTTGCCTTGCCGGAGTTGTCCTCGGCGGTTGTGTTGGTCGTGTAGCACGCGAGGACTTCTTGCCAGAAGGGGAAGCAGCGGGATGGGCCTATTGAGGAGGTTTGTTAGTCTGGATGTTGCCGGTGTTTGGAGAGAGTAGAGGTGGGAGATTGGGGAGCTGTAGTGGGCTGGCGCTGGGAGGTTTCAAGGTAGGTCGGCGAGCGAGCGAGCAAGTGCCGGGGGTCTGATAGTCTCGCTTGCGGATTATAAGTGAGTGAATCCTAGCGGTGTATGCGTGTATGGTAGTCCCGTGGCTTGTATAGGTGCCGTGCATCTCTCTCTAACATCTCCAGATCTCAATCCGTTGTACTCGCGGGGTGATGGTCCAGGTCCCGGGTCTGCGCGGTGACCACAATCGCTTACTACCCTTGACAATCTCCCACCATCTCTCCAACCATCGGCATACGTCGGTCCGGTATCCGCGTTGTGTGGTCGGCGTCGTCGCTCTTCGCATTCGTTCCAGTTCCACTCTTCATGATGCCATTGCGCTCCTTGAAACCTTTCGCTGCCTCCCAAACGTCCAAAATATATCCAAGTAGAAGGAATTAATACGTACCACCAGCAAGTCCGTATCCAGAAGCCATTGTCGCGGTGTTTAAGTGGGGGTCGTAGGTCGCGATGCGCAGGTGTAGACGGACTTGGATGAGCTTGTGTTACGTCAGCAACGCACGGATCCGCTGGGCCAATCATGGCAGGTTATTTAGCTTGATTCCCTAGCATTCTAACATCATTTACTCTTATGTTATGAGAGACACGCATCCACCAAATTTGTAGTAATTAGCCGAGAGAGTATTTGAGGGGTTGTTTGTATCTTGAGATAAGAATCTGCAATAGTACTCTTGTTTGAATGGTAGCTTGTCGTCCCCCAACTTTCCGGGACGCTCGAAACAACACTTACTGCGTATAGCTGTCTACTAACAGCAAAGCACCCCGTGCCATACCTTAGCCTCAACGTATGACATATTGCAATCGATACAATGCCGAAGAGAATCATGTAAATTGTCTACACATTCGGTTTGCTGCGTAAAGCCACACGTGATAACATCATTTGATGTACATTTTCGGCAAAACATACACTGTCCGGCATCATTCCTGCGGCCAGCCATGCTCCCATGTTCTGCATTACACATTCATTTTCACTACAGGACTACCGGAAGCTCACATCTATTCTTTCAAGTGAAGGAAATCGAGCAAACCAGCAATTATTTATCACACAATGTTTGTTCTGCGGCGACTAGGGGATTCTGGAACAAAACTACGAATTCTTTTGCTTGCTCCTGCACTGTATAAAACCCTGCAGTTCCCACCTAAAACTTAACACATCGCTACACCGGTCAGGCGAAGGATCCATCTCCCCAGGCGAATTCGAGTTGTTTCTCATAACAAGATAAATATGGTCCTTCCAACACCGACTGCACCGAGTAGTGATTTCACCAAACAAGTTCTCTCGTTTCCTTGAATTACAGGGAATTTCCACTGTCAGCCCAACTTTGAATCACTCGAACCGCTATTATGGATTTCCAAGGTCTACCCGATGAGGTAAAAGTCGCGATCTGTCAGTACCTTGTATCCAGTGCTGGCATTTCCTCGTCATGGAAGCTACGGGGAGTTTGCAGTACGTTTGTTCCGAATCGCCCTTGAACATGGCTGATTATTATAGAGCTCTTTCGGGAAGAGATTGAGCGAGAGATTCTTCAAAATCAGCCACAAAGTGCATTCTTCAGTGCTGCTCACTCACTTCCGGACGAGGAAGATCAACCCTTGATTTCTTCGCAGACTCCAGGAAGTTATACTCTAATTCTCCATCTCACGCCGCGCTTTCTACAGGCCAAGGTTGCGAACTCCGGAAGCTTCGATCCCTCCCTACCTAATGCTATCATGCATATGTTTAACTACATGGCACAGCCGCTAGACTCTACAGATCGATATGGCCTTCCTCGGTCGAACAATACATACGAATCGAAAGAGATCGTTGCCCAGATCTGTCAGAGCATTTGTTGTATGCTCGGAAATGATACTGTCCTGAACGCTCTCTTCATAGATGTGTCTACATCGAACCTTATCAAACGACCAAACGAGTCATGGCTCAGGGTACTCAATGGGAGCTTCGACATTCACTTCAAAATTACAGCTGCTATTGCCGTTGATTGCGCCAGTCGTGTGCGTTCGCTGGTTCAGGAGCTGCTTCCTGATTCGTTGAAGCACGAAGTTTTTGGAAGCCCCCTGCTCAATGCGATCAAGCTCGGGAACCTCCGAATACTCAAGAAACTGATCAAATACCTCCAGAGTTCTCAAATCACAGAAGCGCATCGGGATACTTTGTTCAACAATCCATTGGCAAACTTTTGTATTTATAAAGCAATTGGAAAATCGATTACGTACAGTAGAGACGATATGTTTCTCATGGTCACAAAGCTGATACGCCGCAAATTTGGTGGACTTAAGCCCAGAGATTTTGACGCCTTTGTCCGTCTGGTAGTCAAAACCTCCAATGTCAGAATGCTCAGATATCTCTTCCGCATTCCAACTTCACCGGCGTGGGTATTGACCCAGAACACTATGTGTGCGATTTGCAACTCCGCGGAGTATGATCTAATTTACTTCGTATTTCGCAAAGCTGACTGTGCCAACGCACATAGAACTTCACGACGGCATCCCTTGCACATCGCTGTTCGGGCCGGACTCGAAGCCACGCGAGCGGTTTACGACACTGGCAAGTACGATGTTAACGAAAGCGTGAGCTGGCCATACAAAGGCTACTGGGATGAACCTGTGACAGCGCTGGATGTAGCAATCTTTCGCCACGACCATGCAATAGTAAAGTGGCTCTTAGATCATGGGGCCAATTATCGGAGGAGATTCCCTTCGTTTTATATGTCCTGCAGGATATTTAATTATATACGAGATCGAGCTATCGTGGACGACCCAAGAATGGTGGACTTGCCGTCTTATGGGCAGTATTCGGATATGTGTCGAGAGGCGCGGGATAGTTTTGTATTTGGCCTAGGTCAATAGTTGCTTAGATGAACTGCGCAATGTCTTCAAATTCTTCGAGATGATGACTCAACTGGGAAAGGCGGAAAGGGCAATGGCAATTTCCCAGTAATGGTCAGAAGGCATGAATAGTCATCTTGTCACTCTTCCCAGCAGCATTATGACCGTTTCACAGAAAGGAGAGTTTGATGTATGCAACCTTGGCTGTTATAATATCAATGCCGTTACTTCTTAGTCACTTCTCGTCTCAACAACATAATTCAGATTCCAAAACTATTAAGAAGAACAAAAAACACGATATCTATTTTGCGTGAACTGAAATAAATCTAGATCTATCGCCCCTCTACTCCAAATCACCAGAGACCGCAAAGAGAATTCTTCTCGTTCCATCGGCAAGAGAAGCAGTACTTTGAGTAAGCAATACGCCTATTCTCCTTAATCGCCTTCGTGACCTTTGGGTTTTCCTTTAGAAACTTTCCATACTCAAACATGCCTGCATTGGATCTACCTGTACGACGCAGATATTCCAGTCGCGCAGCCAACGCCTCAAGCATGTCATCCTGGCCTTGCCTGGCAAAGCGCTCGATTATCTCGCCCTCCTTAAGCGTAGGAATACGCACGTGAATGTGGCTCTTGTATTGGGTTACGAGGTGTTCAACATACTTTTCCATACCTAGGTACTGTGCCGCATGACGCATGTGAATGGTTGCAATAGCCTCATCATCTTTGGATGCATGAGTAAGCTCAATTTGCAAACGCCCATTGGAGATGCTAATGATAGTGTTGACCCATTCCATGAGCTTAGCAACAGCGTTTTCATCGAGTGATTCCTCGGTGATCTTGATGAATTCTGCATCGGGATCTGCCGTCAAGTATTTGCGAAATGTGGAAGAGACAACAACCAAGGCTAATTTGGGCACCGTAGCGATGGAATTTTCGCCATGACCATTGAAGATATTGACTGCGCCGGCTGAGAGAAGCTCTTCACGGGACGAAGATGAGTAGCTGCGGATGTCGTGTCCGTCAGGCATTTGATCCATGTTGGTAATGGTATTCTGAATCTGCATGTAAGTCTTGGAGGTGTCAATGCCAAGTGCTTTGGTAATAGTGGGAAACATTGTGCTTGGTTTGGATGGTAGTTTCGTTTTTTTGTAGCAAAGGTGTTGCTGAAATGTGATGAATCGGGATGCTGTTTGAATGCAAAGTGTGTTTGGGTTGATGAGAAAAATCTGAAAGTGAACTCTTCCATAAATACTTTGAGGATAATGTCGATGTGAGTTTCTGGTGTTCATGTACAGCTCGCTTGCTTGTAAACAGTATATAGACATTTCTTTCATGAAGATGAAATCCAACCGCTCTATGCATGTACATTGTTTCGAAACGTGAGCGTCCGACACTCTGGCGTTGTTTGTGGTGAATAAGGGCGAGTCGAACCCTTTCAACTGGTGCAAAGTGTTTCATACGCTGTGCTGATACCAAAAGATTGTTGGTCCTCACATCTTAAGCAACTGTGTACCTTGAACATCTTGTGACATAGTGGATCAGCAGTATTTGCTCTTCATAATTGAAACCTAACATCATTGCGTAGAGCGGTGGCTGCTAGTAAGACAGGTGACATCAACCAGTGACTGTCGCTTGCTCGTGACACTGGAGAGATATTCAGTCTTCACTCTGTATTACCATACCTATTTAGTAATATTACTGGTAGAGTTCTAAGCCCTTTGTGAGTACTGATCTGTCGAGACCGTTGTATCCCTAGGAACTCCGAATGGCTACAACACAAATATACCTTGCTTCTTGCTTAATGTACAATATTAAACTTTCTTTTAGTTTCAGTGGTGCAACATTCTCCGACCCCAAAATTAGGGCGAACGTCCTTGAGCCGACGCCTCGGCCTCACCCACACTGACCGTAGTAGAAGGGGCAGCCCACTATATAATACATTCCCACGTCATTTGCAATTTCTCAGCTTAACCTCGTTTCGCCACCAATGACTCTAGATATCTAAAAGCAACTATTAGTATCCATCAGGAGACCTCCATGTGAGAAAGACTCTCAGAATATACGTACCTCGAAAGAAACCACCCAAACATACAGGTAGTTTTGCAGCAACCGCCCCGGCCCCATGCCTACCATCCGTCTATCGACAACACTGATACTACAACTTATTAGCCAACATCCTGCAATCCCACATTTCCCCGTCATTCATCCCCAGTACCAAAAAAGCGAAATCAAGACGAAACTCACATAAGTAATACAAAGCCCATTCTTGCTGTCACAAGTAAAGTAATCCACATGCGGCATCGTTCCGGGAGTCTTGCACTGGAAGAAATTGAAGAACCGCGGATAATTATTCAAATCCCTGCATTGGTTGCAGTTCGGCGTGCCGTCACTGGGTAGATTGTAATAGTACATTGGTCTGGATCGGCCACAGTACGGGTTTCTGGATGGCGAGTTGGGCACTTGTGCGAATGCGAGGGATGCTGACATGAGGAGGGCGGCGAGGACGGACTTCATGGTTATGGATGGGGTAGAGGGTTTGAGCAATTGATTTGATTGCGGCTGGGAAGTTTTCTTACTTATATGATTTTACGTACACCACTCATGGGGTTAGATAAAGAATGGTGTATTTAACATAATAAGACCGGTCCCTGAACCGAAATACGATGTCTAGCGCCTGGGCATCACCTAAATTATTCTGGGCGAAGGTTGAGGAGACACCGGGAAAGTAGCGCGGGAAATGATCTCTGGCCTAAGGCGAAGGAAGACGTCAGTGGTGGATGTTGGTTTCCCCGTTGTGACATTCACCCCAGACCTAAGTCGAGGCGCTATCACAACCCTAAGTCTCAGCATGCACAAGCATAGAACTAAGACCAAAAACTTTAGGTAGAGTGAAATTGAAACAGTAAAACTAGCTCATGGTCGACATCGCTGGCATCAACCTGTAAAATCAATAAAAAAAAAGTGCCAAAGATAACGTGGTTCCCAAGAATACTTACTCCCTGATATTACAAAGTAGTAGTGGTAGTACCTCGCCCGTCGCTATGCATGGTTCCCAAGTCCAACCTATCCGAATAATATCTAAAATCTAAGTCCTTTAACAAACGCCATTACCCATTTAGGACCTAAAATTACAATCTCAATCTCCCTTCCTCAGACCTCCCACCAAACAGACTCAGAAACCCGTTTGCACGATCACTCTCACCTCTCTCTGCCTGTCTTCGACTGCGTCCGGCGTCAACTTCGTCTTCGCCACCAAGCCACTTGGGCCGGGTGAAGGAAAAGTCATTAGTTTCGAATGTGTTCTTGACCCTGGAGGCAAAATTCTCGAAAAAGTTTCCTTCACCTTCATCGTCTTCTAGCAAGGGTCGCCTTTGCTCAGATCGGATTCCTGAAGATCGCGTGATACTGCTTGAACCATTGGTAGCTACCGCGGAAGCAGTACGACTTGATGATGCGGGTGTTGGACTGTCTGTGTAACGCTCATTTGGCGGCAATGTTGTGCGTTGAGAGAGACCCAAGACATTTCCGCTGGCGCCCTGGACTTCACGTGCGATCAACGCGCGGCCTTCACGCCAAGAACCAGTGCCTGCGTGAGCACCTGCTGCTCCGTCTTCTTCATCGTCCAAAAGATCACCAAAGCCGCAGATGTTCTTCACTTTGCCATAGAGACCAAACGCTGTTGCAAAGACCGGGACGAGGATAAAAATAGGAAAGAAAGCGCTGAAACCTTCACCGAGCGGAGTCAAGACGATGAGGCGACCGAGGAATTTGTAGAACATGGTGCCCTTCCAGATATTCTTGTCCGTCATCGTCAAGAAGTTGTAGCTCAGAGGAACGGTCAACTTCGCAACCTGGAGACCATACCATGTCGCACTTTCCTGGTAGGTATTGCGTCGTACAAGCGCTCTGTTGCCCCAAATCTTGACCTCAGTGAGACTGTAGAAGGCGCAAATACACATGTAGCATAGCCAAGCGGCAGCAATAACCTGGCTGTTGAAACCAACAGATGAGCGACCGCTATCATGACGATGGACGACTGTCCAACCGATAATGGAAAGTTTGGGGCCACCAAAATCCTGAGCTTCGCGAACGCATTCTGACCAGACAATGGAGATGGAGGCTAGAATTGTCGTAGCCCATGATATGTATGTCAATGCAGGAATGATATGGACGTGGAGGTGGTACCGCGTGAAGGGAGTGAGGAGCGTAAAGCGTTCAAACAGGCCTGTATGAGACAATCTGGCTGCACCCTTGAATTCGAGATGTTTGCTGGCCTTGGAGTCGAGGATAGCTTGTGTGCGGACGGCTTTCCGTACAATGTGATCCCATTCGTTCTCAAAGCGGCATTTCGCGTGTCGCGCGCGCTTCAGTTTCCTCGTCAGCTCTGCAAGATATCGCTCCGTGATGACTGGTGGAATCGTTGTCGTATTTCCACGTCCAAGGACACCCGCCCGGCTTTCTGGTAGACTACTTCTCTCCGCTATCTCGTCAATCCATTCTTGAAATTCCTTTGGAATACCATTCTTCCTCTGTTTGAGTTGTACAACCTGGAATTCGTACTGGTCCAGCTTCTCCAACGCCTCGGTCAGTCTTTCATGGACTTTGGGTGCCTGGCCCTGTATTCTCTTTAATCGTTCGCTAACGCTCGCGTACCGAAACAAACTCCGCGGGAACGCGACAAGCCCGTGGCCCATGAGGTAGATGCCTAGAATAAGACCCCAAGTATAGGCAAGCGCCATAACCAAACTCTTGAATGTGTCGGCCTCGAAGCCGTTCCACCATATCAGGTAGACGGAGCCGACGACGCTGCATGCCAGCAGGATGAGCCAGTATCGTCCGTTGCTTCGAAGCGCATACTGCAGCCTGGCTTTGGGCTCCCTGTATCCGCTGTCGCAATATTCGCCGAGCATAGGCAGTATAGCCCATGTGAGGGCGAATGTGAGCCAGTAGATGACGCGCCATGTCTTGTACACAACCGTGTCATTTAGCCATATCCCCCTTGCGCCGTCAGTTGTATCGAGTCCGGCGCTGCTTGCAAGATCGATGGGAAGCAGGACAACGATGCTGGCTGGAAGAGCTATCGCTAGGAATACGGGTAAGACGACGTATGCGGGAGTGGTGCGAAGTGGGAGATAGTAGCGTAGTAGCAGGAGGACAAGACCGCATATGGAGAGTAGTGAAAGGATGAAGAAGGCAATAGAGCCAGACGCTGAAGACGTCATGGTAGCGCGCGGTCGCAAGTACGCATAAGAGAGGCGATGATGGGTGTGTGTGGTGGTTAAGGGAGATTGTTGGGTTGGTGCCTGAATGCCTGGATGGCGAAAGATGGTTCGACGGTTGTTACGGGCAGGAGCAAGCGTACTAGGAAGCTTCGGAATGCTCAATCTCGCGTCGGAATGCGGAAATTGCGAAACCCGGTGCACCTCTTACTACTGTTTTTCCATCTATCCCAAGCAAGACGGTACTACCCATTCTACTGCTTATTCTTTCCTTGGTCAAACGTCCAAAAGCTCCAAGTCCCTTAGTCAGGCCTTGGCCCTTTGTCCGCGTAGCCTCAGCCCTATGCGCCATGACGACGGCAATGGCTAGGCGCACGGGCCTCTGCTATCTGCTTTGGTAATCAATCGCCGGTCCATCTCCGACGCTAATTGGCGGCGAATCTGGACGAGCGATTGCATCATCCACTGTCAAGCTGTCTATTCGGCGGGGGCGCATCACTAATCCACTTGGACGTACATAGCACATCTACACTTCAAACAGATCCATTGCACATACCCTTCCTCTTGCCAATCTCCACAACGCCTCTGGCTACTTGAGTACGTCTTCCTTCTACACAAACTTCATCATACAAACCACTTATACACATAACCAGACCCTACAACCGCCAAAATTTCGTTCCTGCGCCACTTCTTCACGCGCGCCCCCTCACCCACAACCATGTCTGCCACAAAGACCAAGGTCCAGTCCATCATCGACGAGAACCCCGTCGCCGTCTTCTCAAAGTCCTACTGCCCATACTGTAACCAGGCCAAGCAGCTGCTGAGCGCCAGCGGCGCAAAGTTCTACGCCATCGAGCTCGACCAAGTCGGTACGTACATATACCCTTTTTTATTGATACAACAGAACGACAACTAACCCTGTTTCCACAGATGACGGCTCAGCAATCCAGTCTGTGCTCGCCGACATCACTGGTCAGAGGACCGTTCCCAACATCTTCATCGCCCAGCAGCACATTGGTGGAAATAGCGATTTGCAGGCCAAGAAGGGCGAGCTCAACACCCTGCTCAAGGATGCTGGTGCCCTATAAGTGTCCTGCAGTCCCACAAAGTAACATGATTCCTGTACTTAGTCTCGCAACACTCGGCGGGCAATAAAATTCATTATCAACTGCACTTGCCCAACATCTTGCCATGTGAGCACTTCATTAACGCCAAAGTAATGCATTTGAAAATAAACTTGCCCGTGGTAAATCTAACAGGGGTTATCTTGTGGTCATGCTCATGAACCAAACACTAGCCCACCGAGTTTGGGTACAGCTTCCAACCAAAACCTCGAGGGATTCGTCATACATTGCTCCTCTCCAAACTCTCTCTCTCTCTCGCACTCTACGTCATTACCCATACATGCTAATCATCATGTCATTTTCCGCGCTCAACAACACGGACGCAATTGGACCCTCTAAGTCTGCATTGCCTCGGTGAAGCTTTGGGCTGCCGTCGTCGCAAAGTATCGCACGTCCACATCATCATCTTGCTGTAGCTTCTCTAGGTTGGGCAAAATGCTCTTCGTGATGACGTCCGTTGCCTTTTGACATCCCTGACCCGGTGTTCCTGCCTTTTCAAGAGCAATCACCGTACCCTGTTCTGGAAGCTGTTTGAGTGTGTTGATCAGTTGACCATACGACTTGGCCACATTGAACCGGATGTTGGGAATGTCGTCATTGACAAGCTTGTCCATCATGGGGATAATGGATTGTTCAATAACGTCAAGGCTGAGGGCAGGTGCAAGAGTCGACACTGCAAAGCACGTCGTCATACGGTACAGGTAGTTGGGGTGTTGTCCCATGGCCATGACCTTGGGAACAATGGCGTCGTTGGCCCACTCTACGCCAAAAACCTCGGTGAGCTTCTTCAGATTCTGAGTCGATGCCTCACGGATCGAGAAGACAGTATCTCCAAGCCAGCTCATGCACAAACTGCTAAGCTTCTCGTCGAAGAACTGCACACCGAGTTGGGACGCAAGCAGGGGAACGTATTCGATGATAGCAAGACGCACGCGCCATTGCTTGTCTTCGGCAAGTTGTACGATGGCTGGAAGGAGAGACTGCGAGAGAAGCTCAATGCCGATGACGTTGTTGACAGATTCGAGCTTGGAGATGATGTTCAGTCGCACGTCGGGGAACTCGTCCTTGAGCATCTGCAGGAACATGGGGAGGAGATGTGAGATGGTCCTAGTCAGAGTCAGAACTGCAGCACGTGGTCACGCGTCAGTGCCCAACTTACTCCTCTTTTCCAAGAATAGGTGCCAGCCCACTAATCTGAGTGCCAAGCGCGGCGCGGACATGCTGCGATTGATCGGAGACCAGCTCCTCTATGCTGGGCATGACCTCGTGTAGGAGGGTCTCACGCTCAAGGAGTGCGCAGAATCCTACCATGTTCAGCCTTGGTCATACAATATCGCTTCGTGACAACCTACCTGGAATCTGACCAGCAATCGCGCTACGGACCTCCGCCTCAGTGTCCTTGAGGAGCTTAACGAATGCTGGCACAAGGTCTCGATTGACGACCTCCTCATCCACTGCTTTTGCGATCTAATATCGTTAGCGCATGCCTTTCCTGATTCCCATCTGAAACGCACCTTCTCGAATCGGTCTGCCACCATGTACCGCACCCTCCAGCTCTTGTCCTCGAACAAACTGCGCAGCGCAGTCAACAAAACCCCATGGCTCGACTGTTGCTCCTTGGGTACTGCTTCGGCTATGGCAATGAGGATGTCAACAGTCAACAGCCTAACACTGTCCTGGTCGTCTGCGGCAAGGTGCTGAAAAAGCGGGATCATCTCATCGATGACAATAGACGGCGGCATGGCCTTGATGAACTTGGCCAGGTTGTTCGCTGCCTGCCTTCGTACCATGGGAGTATCATCATGTACTAGCTGACCGTAGTGTTGCCTAAGGGCCTCTTGTGACGGGGGTGTGGCGCGGGAGTAGGGGGTCTGGTAGAGACCTGTGGCGGAGATTTTGGAGGTGAACCAATCGGCTTTCGATAGGCGCAGGACAAGAGGAATGAAGTTTTCTTCAATCTGCTGCTGCGAGAGCTCCTCGCAGATCTTGTTAAGGGACTCGACAGCCTGTGCGCGTTAGCTGTACCCCAGGCTGTTAGAAACGAGTGCGCGCACCTTCTCCCGGACAAGGGGCTCCTCTATAGCTGCAAGGTTTTCGAGTGGTGAGAGAAGCACATGTGCGTGTTCTGGGCCTCCCACATATTCGACAAACTTTCCCAGCTCCTCGCTCAATGCTGTGAGAACCTCGTCTTCGTCTTCAACGGACTCTACGGGCACGTGTTAGTCACTTGCAGCGCATCCAGGGTCACTCAACGGGTTTCTCACCATCTAGAAATGGTATCAACTCCTCACGTGTTCGCTCAGCACCCAGAGCGAGTGCAATCGTGTTTAAGCGATGAATTGCATTCAGGCGGAGAATAACGTCGTCATGCTTGAGCTCATCGATGAGCACGGCGATGGGGTAAAGCTCGTCATTCTGATTTGCGTCCATATCGGGTGGGTGGATGTGTGTCTGAGGAGTGTAAGTTTGTGAGTGCGCGGTGGGAGTTGGGCGCGGGCGTGGTGTTGACGTACCTGGTGTTGGCGAGGAAGCGAAGAGGGGTGTCAGGGCATCTGGGCAGGCACTCGAGAGAGGAGGACCGAGCTTTTCAGCCACCACAGCCACAGCTCCAGTGTTCTGCGCAACGACCGTCGAGATACATTTTGCGGCCATGAATTTTCGAGCCAAAGCAGGTGTCATGGTCAGTTTACTATGTAGTTTCATGTCAAAGGTAGAATAGGCTGTTTTCTTGTTATGCCGTACGTAGTAGCGCAGACTCTGAATTTGACATTGCAGATTTGTGGCTCACACCGCCACGTTCATAAAGATGATTCACTATAAGTTAAACCAGAAGTGGCGAGCTGCCACAATGATAGCCACGTCCTATAGACTGAACTACCTCCAAGAGAAGACATTACGATATCGGCAATAGTGTGTTACAAAATTTGGAGTAATGGCACAACTACAATGTCTGTAAAATACCACCCCCACTTCTGCCAAGTGCTGTTGGTATCTTAGTCCGCTTTCTGCTGTTGGGAGTACAACTCTGATATTGCTACTCAGCTTGGTGTAATTTGGTCAAGCCCCTTTGGCCTCTTCCTATGCTGAACGGCTCAAGGGTATAATGTCGCCCCACCCTATCGCGTTCGTCGATATACATTGTACGCTATTCAACAATTGGGGAGAGGGCGGGGCAATGGAACAGACCACCATGTTCAAGATGTCAGAACCTACCGATACCTGAACCTTATTCACCTATCATGCAATTCTTCCATATAGCCATGGCCTTCACAGCCTTTGTCATAGAAATGATTGACGTTCCGTCTCACCAAGCTATTTCCAAAACAGGTTTAGCGTTGCTTCTAAATCTAGGGCACGAAAAGTACCCCTAGTTGACGAATCAACGCAGCTATTTTTCTATGCTCACTCAGGAAAAGGAGATGTCAGCCGAGTACCAGTTTGCACATTACAAGGAAAGAAGCAGTCAGCTGCCCAAGAAACCTAGTAAGGAGCTATGCTAGATGAGAAAGGTCACGATAGATCTTTCGCTAGCGTGCGGGGCCAATCGGAAATGACTAAAGATTGGTTGCAAGAACGGCCGTGAACCTTGATCAAAAACCAGTATTAGGTGACGCAGGGTGGGCTCTATCTCCAAGCCACCTCTATCTCTTCAGCGACTGGACATTTCGCAATGGACGACACACACAGTATTGATCATTCTGGAGAAGAGCCGCCCAAGCCCAACGCTACTGAATCTGACCCGTTACTTGTACAACAAGATGAAACTCCATCCGCCCCACGAGTGACCCAGCTGCCCAAACAGCTCACTACACGCCACGCATTTGCTGTCCTTGTTACTCTGCAAATAGGTTCAGGCATATTCGCGTCACCGGCACAAGTTGACAGCAACGTACCTTCTCCAGGTGCTGCTCTTCTGGTCTGGGTACTTGGCGGGCTGCTCTCATGGGCAGGAGCTGCATCTTTCGCAGAACTAGGTGCTGCTCTACCGCTCAATGGCGGCATGCAGGAATATTTGCGCCATGTTTATGGAGACACCGCGGCGTTCCTTATGGCTTGGGTGTATATCCTGGGCGTGAAGCCATCCTCTATGGCCATTCAAAGCATCGTTGTCGCCGAGTCTGTTGGTTCAGTTACAACCAGCTCAGACAGTTCGCCGGATACCGGATTACTCAAGCTTATTGCTGTCATTGTTTTTGTCGCGATGGTGTTGCTCAACTCCATCAACACCAAATTTACGATGAGATTGAGCGAATCCTTTACAGTCTTCAAGCTATCAACAGTCAGCTTGATAGTTCTCGGCGGATTGATTGCAGTTATTGCCCACTTGGTGAACTCCGAATCTCATCTTTCTGGTTCTAGCGACTGGTACTCAAAGAATTGGTTTCAACCAAGACCAACTACATCGGACGGTCAGATTATTGACTGGCTGTCTATGGGCACCTGGGATCGCTATGGTCATTATTGTGCAGCTATTTACGGTGGGTTGTGGGCGTATGACGGATGGGACAATGTAAGTCCGTACAAGCTGTACACCCGTTTGACTGGCTGACGACGCCTTTAGGCCAATATCGTGGCGAGCGAAATTCGTGACCCAGGCCGTGCCCTCCCAAAGGCAATCAAAGCTGCAATGATCGTAGTTCTTACTTCCTTTGAGTTGGTCAATATCGCATACTACATCCTCGTGCCTTGGGACAAGCTGAGCAGCAACAACGCAGTTGCAGTCGCCGCTGGAACGTCTCTTTTTGGAAAACCTGCTGGCATCATTATCACTCTCCTCGTTGCTGTTTCCTGTGCCGGATCGATCACCAGCAACGTGTTCTCAGTGGGCAGATTAACCATGGCTGCATCACAGCGCCATTACCTTCCGGCATTCTTCAGCCAAAGGGGTATGCCGCTGAAGCAAAGAGCTGACGGAGATGGCACTTCATTACCCAAATTCGATGCTCCAATGTAAGATTTCCTGGTGATTTATTCTACGCTAAGGTCTGCTAATATAAACCACAGATATGCCAACGCGTTGGCCCTTGTGGTAACACTAGTATACATACTGACAGGTAGTTTTCGGGAACTTCTAACGTTCGTTGGCATGGCTGAATGGGTTTTCTATGTCAGTACTGTGGTCGGACTCCTTATACTCCGCCGTCGAGAGCCACAACTTGAGCGACCTTACCGGCCAACTACCATTCTTCCGGTCACATTTGTGATTGTGGGTACCTTGGTTATCGTACGGTCTGCTATGTTTGCTCCGGCGCAGAGTGGAGTGTTGGTGGGACTGCTGGTAGCTGGTGCCCTGGTCAGTAGATTGCGGAGCAACCGAAGATCACAATGATCTGAGGGGGCTGAAATTTCTTCTGAGCGTCTGAATAGCCCCTTGCAAATAATACAGTAACAGCACAAAGCAATAACGCCTGTATAATCCCCAGCAGCAAGCCCCTAATTACTCAAAATAACCCAATCCAATCTGCATCATGTACGCGATGGTGAAGGTGCAATTAAACCTTAGGAGTCCAGGCCAGGAAAGCATACGATTGAGCTAAGCAAGGTCCTTGCATACGGTCCCAAGGCGCTAATCAAGTGAGAATCATCTCACCCGGCACTGCCATGCTTTTCCCCGCAATGTAATTTCAGGAAAGAGGTGGCTGTCAAAAGTTTCAGCCTATACGGAAGTAGCGGCTAGAAGTTCTTGCTAGCGTTATCACTGTTGACCCAACATTCTTTACTCAAAGCGAAGAAGCCCCAACTACACCTCAACGAGAATTGATATGTATGATGTAACTTCTGGGAATATATAAAAATACTCAGTATTATTTCTAGTATCCAGAAGACTCTTATAAAAAGAATAAAAGAGAGAAAGGAGGAGATCGAGTTTTGTAATGTTGGTACTGCTTACAGTAGTACCATAAATCCCCTGTCGGCAACGGCTTTTAGCCCTGTCGGCTGAAACTTTTGACAGCCGCCTCCAGGTCGCGATCGACATTGAGGTATCCTCGATTCCCATGCCAGCAGGGCTTGAAAGATGCTGTATACCCTGCATTGCTTTGATCTACTTACCAATCGATCACCTCAGAATGTACGCTGTCACATTCTTGCTGTCACCACGGCAGAGCCACACTAACCGGCTGTCCCGGCTGCAGATCACCCATTTACTGAGTGACATGTATATCGCCAATGCACGCAGTGATATCAATGCGGTGGCGGTGTGCAACGGCCATGTTTATCGACATCAAGAACAGTGAAAACATTATAGTACGTTTCCTGTATCTCAGGTCGCTCTTATCCGAGGTGCTACGGTCATTAGACCTTGGCGAGGCTCAGCAACTTACTGTGCTCATAGGCAAAAGGGTTGTGTTGTAGAGACGCTAAAATGATGATCAGGCTCTTTTCCGGATGACTCTATCCCCAACTTAATACAAAGAAATACCAGACCGTTCTAAACAATCTCAACGGTGAAGCTACACTCTTTAGAGCATAGCTCTTACTCGCTACCCCAGTCTGGGTTACCCCTTACTAGCGGCGTATAAACACAGTAGACTACGGAGCATGCGCTTGGCAACTGCACGCATAACGGTTCCTGACAGGGTTGCTCCCATACTACCCGGTCGTTTTGGGTGTTCTCAGATTGGTTCCTCAGTCGAGATCGCTTGGTCGCGTTCCCCGACCGTATCTGGTGCGACCAGCCGACGTGCAAAGTAACTTCGGGCTGCTGATGGCTGATTCGTGGGTGCAATCCCCCAATTCGATATTTCACTTTGCTGTCTCTTTAATGCCTGTCCGGCTTTAAACATTTCCCGGACCTTCTTCTCTCCGGTGCTGACAAGGCGCTACTGACGACAAGTGCTCGCAGAGATGGTTACATAGTCCACAAAGACAGCTCAAGCCTCGTGTCCGTGTTGCCCCAGAACAGGCTCAAGCAGTACAGTGTATCCCGAAAGCTGAATTTCGGGTGGGGATATACATGTTTCATGTCTAAAAGTTGTATGACACAAGGAGACACCAATGACTATTCTACAGCTGGATCAAGAGTCGAGAACTCCACAGCCCAGTAGGATACGCGACGATCATCGTCTCCTTACACGTGATATTGGGAGCTTACCAATAGCGTATTTGCGATCCCAACATCTCTGGGTTGTTCTGCGCAAGCTCTGGAGCAAGGAGACGCGCAAGGGTGGCCCTTGTGAAGTTGAAGCTGCGCCCGCCATGTTGCATCCAGACAACGTACGGTGCACATACAATGTTCCATGGACGAAAAAAAGACGTAATCAAAACTTGGAAAAGGCGGCCAGAGAGACCGCGTGGCCTGATCAGTGCACCGGAAAGGAACACGAGTACTCCAGATGATGAAAGGTATAAAAGGAGACCACAACCTGCACTACCAGTTGAACCATCACCACTATCAATCAACAACTCCAGCATCTTACCTTCGTTTTAATCACACTCGCTCAAGACCTTGTCTAAAAAACTTTAACTTTTCAAACAAACCAACATGCGTTATACTATCCTCGCCTTCGCTATCGGCGCCACTGCCGCTCCCCTCACCGGTTACTCTTCTGGAGCCTCTTCTGGAGTCTGCCCTCCTGGACTATACAGCAACGCTCAATGCTGTGCCACTGACGTCCTTGGTGCCGCTGCCTTGAACTGCAAAGCTCGTAAGTCTCTCTCCTCACTATCATCACCTGGCTTTAACCGCACGACACTAATTGATTATTCTAGCGTCCACCACTCCCACTAGCACGGATCAGCACATCAGCGGATGCGCGGCTACGGGTCAGCAAGCTAAATGCTGTGTGCTCCCAATTGCGGGCCAGGCTCTTCTTTGCCAGGATGTTACCCCCAGTGCTAACGGAGGCAACAATGGCGGTGCTAACGGAGGCAACAACGGTGGTGCTAATGGAGGCAACAATGGTGGTGATAATGGAGACAACGATGACGGTGACAACAACGACGATGGCGACAACAACGACGATGGAGACAACGACGATGGAGACAACAACGACGATGGCGACAACAACGATGATGGCGACAAGGACGGCGATGCTAATGGCGACAAGGACGGCGATGCTAATGGCGACAAGGACGGCGATGCTAATGGCGACAAGGACGGCGATGCTAATGGCGACAAGGACGGTGATGCTGATGGTGATAACAATGGCGATGCTGATGGTGACAAGGACGGCGACGATGCTGGAGACAACAACGGTGGTGCTTACGGAGCCGGTGCCCAAGCCAGCCAGACACCTACTTCCTATCCTGCTTCCCAGGCGACCCCCTGCCCTAGTTCCTCCCCTGCTGCTGTCCCTTACTAGATAGTAGATCAGGTGGATTGTGGAAAGCGGAGAGTATAGGCGGTGTGAATGTGGGAAGGATAATGTGTAGTTAGATAATTAGAACTGTACTGTAGCATTCGACAATTCCATCTGCAGAGATAGCATTCAACATCGATTTTCCTTGTTTTGCACTTTTCCGATTTGTGAGCTGACTTACGAATACGGCTATCCATCCGGATCCGTGATTGTGATCAACACTGAGTGACTGACTTTATTGGGAATTGGCACTGTGAAGCACACGACGCGTTGGGCACGGTAGTAAGATTCCAAAAGATCCGAGCAGATCCAAGCAGATCCAAGCAACTACCCATGTACATCTATTGAACTAGCACAATGTATCTGGAATGCATTCGCAAGTAACGCGATATGCTCTTCTAAATGCTTAATCAACATATTTAGCGCTGTAGTACTACGCAAGACAAACCTTCCCCAGTATATCTAGTACATTACCTTTCTAACCATGTAGTCCCAGCTAGTAAACTACGCGCCAGACGAATAAGGCAACACACTACTCTCCGCACTCTCCGTATACAGTCTCCGTATACAGTACTCACCGTAAAAGCCCCGGTCCAAGATCCTCGGCGCTGACTCATGGTCTGTTTCAAAAAGATTACCTCAGCGCATACGCAGCACCTCCCCCCCAACCAACGCAAATCATTCAGCCTTGCCACCAAAAAAAACACCAACCAAAATACCCCCAAGTCCCCCCTGACCCTTGGCCCTCCCCTATCGCGTATGAGTACTCGTACAAAACCCCTATCTCGTTTGCCCCTTCATCACCACCCAGAGAAAGAGAAAGAAGAAAAGGAGAAAAGGAGAAATTCGAATGCTACCAAAGCATCGTCTGATCCACCTCAACTCGACCCACGACTCGCAGTCTATCCACTGCGCCACACCAAGCATAGATAATCCCCAAAACGTCGACTTGCAGCGGCTGGCTCGGGAGTGAAAGGCACAGCAGATGCAAGTGGGTCCATCGCCCTTCCATCCACGCACACGTTCGCCTAGCGGTGCGGGCCGAAGGCAGGGTTGGCGCCTAGTTTTTGTAGCCCCGGTGCGTGAGTCTAGAATGCACTTAAAGGGGGGGAGGCGGCTGATGGCAGTGGGTTAGGTAAGGGAAATGTTGCCAAGTATTTTTTTCTTCTTCTCCTCTCTTCAAAAGGAAAAGGGGGGGGGGGGNGTTGCGGTTTTTTTGCGGGGTGATGAGGAAGAGGATATGACGATTTCCATATGTGTTTTGTGGGTGAGGAGGGGACGACGATTAACTTATTTACTCCAAAGGTAGGAGATTTAAAACCTACTGAAGATTGAAATTTGAAACGTTCGAAAATTGAAAATGGAAATTAGATTGAAATGTTGTGAGTAGCAGGATGGAGTTATCTGCATGGCACTGTAGGAACGTAAGAGCAGGCACAGTTGGAAATTGTGGCCCATGAAGGTCTGCGTTAGAAGGGGATGATGAATTCGGGGCGTGGTTCATTTGACCTGGCATCCTACCAAAGCAGTGATGATATAAGCATATATGGATTTCTAGTACATACTTACTCAAGATGCCTATTGATTCAGCTCAGCTAGTTTGGGCATCTGGCGCAGCCGGGTTAGCCAACTCAGCTGACAAGGGCAGTGGACATCCGGTGTAGCTAAAGCAACTAGAATTCTTCTTCTATCTTTCAGATTTATTATTTGTGATTTTGAATTCCGACCTTTAGAGTGTAATCATCACCCATATGTTTTTTTCACTTGAATCAGGCTTGAGAACAATTAATCCGTCAATTCATTTAATTGCTTCTTGGCTAATTCGATCCATTCAATGGATGTAAAATCAAAGTAGCAAGAAGATCGGTCAAGTCGAAAATGACTTCTTGGAGTAGTTAAGTTGATTGTTCCCACATGTGTTTTAGTCAACCAAATTACTCAGATAAAGTCTACACTCACCAAGGTAGGGTAACATTAAGAAGGTGCCACTACACACTGGTATTGGAGGGCAATAGTTTTTTCTCATAGTGTGCTGGTGCACAGAGTTGTGAGTAACTCTAGGCGAGATAGGTATCGCCTGAACTACAGTGTAAGAGTAGGGCGCTTCCTAAAGAGTGGAGAAATTATCCGACTTTATAGATTTTCAATCATCCAATACACCTTTTAAGGTTGAAACTCTTCCACTCGTCTACTACTAACGTCGCGGAAGTAAAGGTAAAGGTAGCTCGTCTTCTCCATAGTAAGACTCATGGCGCGAGACTATTATACCCGTTCAGAATAGCACATTAGTCTGTAGGTAAGATTCTAATAATCTTAGATATAAACAAATATTAATTGTAATCGCGTTGTGGTGAATGCGGCTGGTTGCAAACGGCAGCTTTGTTCTAATATTGGTCGTTTGTTTATCAGGGTATTTCAGTTGACCAAGAGATGTATATTTTGATGCGAAGAGAATGCGTCTAGAGAAATATTCTAGAATTTAGGTTTGAGTAAAGGTAGGAGCGCTGGAACTGACACGCGTCAAAGAATACGGGGATAAACAAATGAGCCTCCTGTTTCGAGTGATTATTTTAGTTCGTTTGGTGCGAGGATATGCGGTCATAATCCCAGGTATCCATTTTTTGGTCATGACGTCGAACTTGGCATCGTAATGGCAAGATGGCCTTTCACACGTTACAATATGTTTGCAAAAGAAGGGTGTAGATGATGGTGTTGCTGAAAAAGAAGGTACGACTAAAGACATGATGTCATGACCTCTTGTTACCATCAGCTAGCTCGACCACCACAAAGATGCTGCTCTAGTAATTAGCAACCAACATTCTCTCATACCTCATTCTTTTCAATATTTTTCCTTTATACGTAAGCTGAAACCATCTTTGCACAAATGGCAAAATCGTGTACGCTCTGTTCTACGCCGAGGCCGGTGCTAGTACGGTGCCAAATCGACTCGACGGAGAAATGGCATTTCGTATGTCCTGGAGCATGCTGGAAGGCGGTCTCTGGGGGCGTGGAAGACGCAAAAGGTCTCAAGAAAGAGTTTCCGTACTATCGCTACGGCGGCATGGTGAGTGCGGCTCCTTTGGTGAACAGGGATGGTGATGTAAGTAGAAATATCGGTGCGAATGAAAGCTGACTCGGAGATACTTTGAAACAGTGGAAGGATAGGAGTGCAGATGGGCCGGTAAGCGCGAAGAAGCCGAAAAAAGTCAAGGAAAGACAGAGGGAGGAGATGAAAGCTAGAGTAGGAGATGTTGGTGCAGAGGGTGAGAAGGTTGATAGTGAGGAGGAGGAGGCTGAGGATGGTAGCGCATTGGCCTAGAGTAAGCGAAGACAGATTCTGGCATTGTCAGTGATGCTATTTTCTTTGCTGTGTTTGTACAATGGCCGGGCATGTAGCTGGTCATATCAAAGTTCGGCGATGGTCGGATGAGGTGATAATAGGTGAAGTAGCAAAGCCAAAGGGGCATGGTGCGGACTAGCTGGCGTGACACACGACTGCAGATGCAGCGGGCGCAAGAGGTGGAGAAAAGGCAGTTGGTGGTTGCTTTGAGTTTATTGAAAATATCTATTCTTGACCGTGTGCACAGCCCGCTAGGACGAGGGCGAGGGATTTTGGGCCATCATGACGACGTTGGACAGGTGTTTAGTCGGGAGGTCGTGTTACTATTGATAGATCTTTATGCAGCGGGGCTCTGCCATCGGTCCCTCGAGCCCATGCACTTAGTCATTAGCGGGGGGCAGCTATCGCAAGCGCCCGGACCCGCGGCCCCGTTGAGATGGGTCGCATCCTTTTTGCAACGGGCCTGGGATTGGCGATGCAGCGTTTGCTGGAAGAGCGACATGCGGTTGCTCATGCTCATGGTGTGCCTGTTGCGCTGCAGGTGGCACGAGGGCCAAGGCGGAAGAAGGGTCGGGTAGGGCACGGCAAGCTAGGGTAGCGCTTGGGGTGGGCCAGGATGCAGACACAGGCTTCTGCTGTGTCGATGCAATATGTAGGATGGGAAAGGTCAAGTATAGCCATGTTGGTGATTGCGGTAGGTCCGATGGTTGAGCCAACAGAGAAGTCCAACGTCAGCCACACGGCGGCCTTGGGCGCTACTAAACATGATCAGACGGTCGGGATACAGGCAGGGTGGCAGCGCAGTAAGGGTCCTGTCGCGTGCGCCGCCAGGGACAGGAGCCAGGAGCTGGTTCCTGAGGGTGTAGACATAGTCAGACGGTTGCTGCTAGTGCAGACGGGAAATGTATTTCGAGAAAGGTGCATGGCCAGGGCGGCAGCGTAGACGCGGAAACCAACCAGCGCATCGACTACGACGACTCTTTGGCTTTGCGAGTGGAATATGAAACAAGATCCGGGACCAGTGATAAAGACGGACGTCCTCTCAGCGCTTGCGGAAACACTCGACAGCAGCCATCCTTCTCGTTCAGTCAGTCCCGTGGCATTTCCCCCGCTCGACAAGGCCGCAATTTCTTTGACCTTGTGCACACCCACCCACCCACCCACTCACTCACACACTCACTCACTCGCACATTCGCTGGCCTCACCTGTTGCCCCCTCACACGCCCGCTTGCTTGGTTGCTTTTGTGCCGCTGGGCCACATTGCCGTCGGTTCGAGTGCAGCTAGTCGACGCGTCAAATGAAGGCTGGAGAGGCGTCAAACGAGCCTCGAACCGCTGAAGATCCGCCCAGAGAGCTTCCCGGCAAGCCTCGCGCGCACGCGCCTAGCCCACCCTCCGCCACAGTCGCCGTCCCGAGCCCCTCCAGCACACTCGACTTTTGAAACCCAAAGGACCCGCAGCCTCTGGCGCTCCCAGCAAAGCAGCCCCGACGTCTCCCCGGCCTGGACCTGGTCCTCCTCTCTTCTCCTCTCGCCCCTCTCCCGCCGCACAGAAAAAAAAAGCCTCCTGAGCAAGGCCTGACCCGAGCCCACTCGCGCCTGCCGCCTGCCGTCAGTCGCGCCCGCACCTGGCATTAGTGACTCGTGGCCGCCAACGTCACTCGTGCCCAGACCCGGCCTTCCTCTCCCTCGACTCTCAACCAGAGCTTCACTCTTTGGCCCCAACGCCCCTCGTTCTCTCTTCCCTTGTCGTTCGCCTTCTCCCTCAAAAAGGCCCAGCGAACCGCCTGCCCACCTCGGCTGTGTGCAGCGACCCACTCGGCTGGGACCGAATACCCTCCACGTCCACCCTCAACAACACCCATCATATCGCCCCGGTCCAAGCTGCCAGCGTCCCTCTTCGGTGGCAGCAAGGCAACGTAGATGCAGTCGTCCACCAACGGCCCTTCGCCGCAATCACAGCCAAACATGTCGGCCCCCGCGCCCCTCCTTCGCCCGCCCATCCCCGGCGCACGCCCCGGAAGAAGAGGCCCGCCATCTCTCGGTCTCTCCATACCACCCTCGCCAAACCAACGTCCCGTCACAAACGATGCAAACGGAAACATCACACAGTCGCGCCCTCAGCCACCCAAGCTCAACATCATGACTCCCATGGGCTCCAACAATGCGCCGCACGAGGGCAGGCAGGGACCCCGCGGCCTACCACCACTACAAATCGGCCCAGGCCTCTCCGCCTCGGGCTCGGGCTCGAGCGATGCCAGCGCCCATTCGAGGTCTGGCAGCTTCGGTGAAATGCCAATCACCAGCTCGGCTTCTTCATACCATGCATTGGGCTTTCCAGGCCTGCAGAAAGACCCTATTTCTGCCATATCACAAGGAAACAGCGAGGGTGCACAATCCATGGAGCGTGTCGGTAGCAGTCAGCCATTGCCAGATCTGGACGCCATGGCTGCGGAGAAGGGGCGGCCATTGGAGGTTGACGATCTCGATGATGCGGCATGGCGAGCAGCGAGTGCAAGGGGTCTGATAGAGGAAAAGGGCAGTTTGGGCGAAGGTGCTGGAGGAGCCGTCACCAAGTGCATACTCAAGGGCGGCAAGACTACATTTGCTCTAAAGGTGCGTCATTTTCATTTTGCCGCACCTTGCGTTGCTAACATCTGTTCCAGATCATCACCACAAACCCCGACCCTGACGTCAAGAAACAAATCGTACGAGAACTGTCCTTTAATAAGAACTGTGCTAGTGACCACATTTGCCGCTACTACGGTGCCTTTATGGACGACAGCACGGGAACTATCAGCATCGCCATGGAGTTTTGCGAGGGTGGTTCGCTAGACGCGGTATATCGCGAAGTCAAAAAGCTTGGAGGCCGAACAGGCGAGAAGGTCCTAGGCAAGGTTGCTGAAGGTGTTCTGAATGGCCTGACATATCTCCACTCTCATCGCATCATCCATCGAGACATCAAGCCCAGCAACATTCTACTATGTCGGAACGGGCAAGTCAAGCTATGTGATTTTGGTGTATCCGGAGAGTTTGGAACAAAGGGCGATGCCAACACCTTCATTGGAACATCATACTACATGGCACCAGAGCGCATTACCGGACAGAGCTACACCATTACCAGTGACGTGTGGAGCTTAGGTGTGACTCTTCTTGAGGTCGCCCAACATCGATTTCCCTTCCCAGCAGATGGCACTGAGATGAACCCTCGTGCTGGCCTCATCGATCTGCTCACGTACATTGTGCGGCAGCCCATCCCCAAGCTAAAGGACGAGCCTGAAAATGGCATCAAGTGGACAGAAAACTTCAAGTACTTCATCGAGTGCTGGTACGTACATGTTTCGCCCCCCCCCCCCCAAAAGTATGATATCCGCTTACAATTTCTAGTCTTGAGAAAGATTGCCCTCGAAGAGCCACACCTTGGCGGATGCTCGAGCATCCGTGGATGGCTGAGATGAAGTCCAAGAAGGTCAACATGGCGCACTTCCTCAAGCAAGTATGGGACTGGAAGGATTAAACACACATGTACCATCATTCTTAGACTCGGCTTATGATGACTGTGTCGTCATATTATGCTGCGCAGTGTCAAAAAGGCACTGCCGGTTCTGCACTGACCTAGGAGCAGCTTCTTTTGTACCTTCATTTCAATCGCCAGGTCGCGTGCTGGCATGAGATCACAGGCTGCCGACATACATACTCTTGCTTTGGTTGTCAAAACGGCTTTCTTCGAATTGGGAATTTATATATCAGGAGTCCTGAGATGTGGACGAGTATCACATGGGAAGCCATACAAGATCTCAAAGGCACTGAGAAGTGGATATTAATTGGGTGGTTGCGCTGGAGGAGTCCCATTGGCATTGACGGCGTCTGAGCGGTTCAGGTTGCATATAGCGGCATATCAGAAAATCGCGGATCTGGAGACGAACCATAGTTGGCCATATAGTACTTCAATATGTATAACAATGCCTTTTGAAACTAGTGCGCCAAGTGACAGCCTGACGCATGGAGAGTGATAGTCTGAGGCCTGGTTACTTAATTGAGATTAGTGCCTGATCCGGTCCGACACACCTCCGACAGGTGCTCTCGACGCTTGGAGTCATACCAAATAATTTACGCCGCAACCGCAGCCGGCCAATTGAGCACTTCGCGAAATCCAAGGTCCTTCTTAGCACGGATCCTTCACAGGCAACTAGCGCAAAAGACTCTGCGAATAGTTGACTCCCCACAATCTTGACGAGTCGCTCCCCGCGCGCAACTACCCCTCCAACTACCCCTCCATTCACATCAGACCGCGTCTGAAGTCTCCAAAATGCCGACCATCGCCGTGGACAAGGCTGCTCTCTTCAAGGAGTTGGGCCGAACATACACGACGCAAGAGTTTGACGAGCTATGTTTCGAATTTGGTATCGAGTTGGACGAGGACACGAGCGAAAGCACAAAGCCCGAAGATCTGGCGCAACCACCACAGCTCAAGATTGAAATCCCGGCCAACCGATATGATATGCTATGCTTCGAGGGTATTGCCATGAACTTGAAGGTCTTCCTGGAACAACAAAAGCTGCCCAAGTGGACTCTGACACCGCCGAAGAGTGGAGAGTTGGAGGTTCTGGATATCAAGCCCGAGGTATGTCAGACTTGGGCCAACAAACACCGTATAACTTCATAAGAAGATTGTTTCTGACTGTGCGTAGACCAAGCAAATACGAGAGCTTTGTTCAGGTGTCATTCTAAGAGGCATCACTTTCACAAAAGAACGCTACGAATCCTTCATTGCCCTACAAGACAAGCTACACTCAAACTTGGCACGCCAGAGGACGCTGGTATCCATAGGAACACACGATTTGGATAGTAGGTAGTGTATCTCAGGGTATTGAATGCAGTGGCTAATGCGTGACAGCAATCAAGGGTCCCTTCTCCTATGAAGCGCTACCACCAGAGCAGATCAAGTTCGTCCCCTTGAACCAGACTAAGGAGATGAACGCCAAGGAGCTTATGGAGTTTTACGATGTTCGTGTCTCTTACCTAGCCGCTTTTTTACTTTTTCTCTAACATGAAGCAGAAAGACAAGCATCTCGGCCGTTTCCTGCATATCATCCGCGACTCACCCGTATACCCCGTCATTTACGATTCGAACAGAACCGTTCTCTCACTACCTCCTATCATCAACGGCAACCATAGTAAGATTACTTTGGATACGAAGAATGTGTTCATCGAGATCACTGCCACCGACAAGACTAAGGTTGAGATTGTCTGCCACATACTCGTAGCCATGTTCGCTGGATACGCTGAATCGATAGAGCCAATCAAGATCAATTCACCACACAATGGCGAGTCGAGAGAATCGCCAGACTTGTCGCCAAGGCAGACGCAAGCAGAGGTTGACTACTTGAATCAGGTCACTGGCCTGGACCTGTCACCCGAAGAAATTTGCAAGCTTTTGTCGCGCATGGGTCACGATGTCTCGCCATCAAAGTCAGATAAGAACATTCTTGATGTCTCGGTACCGATTACTCGAGCGGATATTCTGCACCAGGCCGACATAATGGAGGATTATGCCATCGCTTACGGCTTCAACAAGTTGCCACGAGTTTACCCGAACAAGACTGCTGCTGTTTCAGCACCATTGCCGATCAACAAGCTCGGTGACATTGTGCGATTGGAATCGGCATCTGCAGGATGGACAGAAGTCATGCCTCTTATTCTCTGTTCACACGAGGAGAACTTTGAGTGGCTGAACCGGAAAGACGACGGAAAGACGGCAGTAAAGCTTGCAAACCCCAAGACTGCTGAATATCAGATTGTACGAACGTCACTATTACCTGGTTTACTGAAGACGATCAACTCAAACAAGCACCACTCAGTTCCCATGAAGATTTTCGAGGTCAGCGATATCGGGCTTGTTGACTTGGAGCAGGAGAGGAAAAGCAAGAACGAGCGACACTTTGCGGCGGCCTACATGGGCAAGACTAGCGGGTTTGAGCAAGTACATGGTCTGCTGGACAGGCTGATGCTCATGCTTCGATCCGCCTTTCTGACACGGGAAGATGGGTTGAAGAATGAGCAGCTCCAGGGTTACTGGATAGAAGAGGTTGATGGTAAGTGCAGATGTGGGAAAATGTTTATTTTTTTTGAATGTGCGCTGATACGACTGTAGATGCTACTTTCCTTCCTGGTCACGCAGCAGCTATCAAGGTGAACCTCGGTGGTAAGAACCACACCGTTGGTGTCTTCGGTATCTTGCACCCGAGTGTACTGCAAAAGTTTGAGCTTCCGTAAGTTTTTTGATGGCCGCACTTTTTTCTCAAAGTGGTATGTGCTAATCATGACTACAGATACCCTGTCAGCACGCTAGAGTTCAACCTTGAGGTGTTCTTGTAGAGAGCATGGCGTATGTGTTCTTGGCATTAGATGTGCGCAGGGGTTTATATACCAAACGAATCGAATTGAGAAATTATCTCTGAACCATTATGGATATTCTGTTGCCCCAGTGTGATGTTAGTGATTCAGTTGCGAATTATTTGTTCCTCGCCTTGCCGCTATCCCTAGTCCAATAGAACCAATGATTGCTTGCATGAAATGATCATTGGCGGCGACTAATTTTCTCTCATATATGCTTCCCTACTTCCTTGCTGTGAATTTTTCCTTGGCAACGCATTGCTGGGCCGTAATGACCAAATTATTTGCGCACAAGTACCAATGTGATTCAGGTTCGTCCTAGCATGCGATCGGTGAGCGTTAATTTAACGAGTTGGAGGGTATTCCAAAGCAAGACTCGTGTAAAGCAGAACAAAGAAAAAAAAATCGAGGAATTTCACATTTGATTCATCCCAGCCTTCACCTAATCTAACGTTCACTCCCATCTGATGACATTAGACGGATCAAAAGATCAGATGGATCACGTGACATATATCAGTCTGGTCTGCATCCGACGAACTCTCTCTCTGATACTGCAACATCAACAACAATGTAAATTTTGTATTAGTACTCTAAGAGCACTGTCACTATTCTAATCCACCCCCCCTTTTTCTCTCTCTCTCTCTTTTCCTTTTTTACGATTTTCTTTCCCGGCAAAAGAAAAAGCCATTTCAAGCCTTCTGCCGCCTACTCTCGATAAAATCGACAAAGTCGAAAAAACTCTTCTTATACCTCCTCACCTGCGTCGTTCTATTGACAGTCTGAATGCCAAACTGCTGATTGTAGTCGCCAAACTCCCAGTTATCTGCCCAGCTCCAAGCAAATGCACCTATAAACTCTACGCCATCCTCCCAAATAGCTTTGAGACCCTCGTTGAGGTAGGTCTGGTAGTATTGGGAGCGGGGGCTGTCGAATTCCTGGTCAGCTTGCGTCTTTTGGGCCTCGGCGAAGACGGGAAAACCGAATTCGGTTACGGCGACGGGGTGGCGCCAGGTATTGTAGAGGTAGGAGAGGTAGGTGCGGAAGTAGGAAGGGGTGATGTAGACGTAGGATTGGCTACGGTAGCCAAAGTTCCATCCTGTGGTGGTTTGTTGGCTTTGGGTTACGCAGTAAGGGCGTAAGGGATGAGTAATGTTTGCGGCGCAGTCGGCGATGGTGTCGTTGGGTGGCGGGCTGACGACGGTGGCGGTGTAGGGCTGGATCGAGAAGAAGTCTGAGGTGCCGTTGATGTAGTCGAGGTCGGATTTACTGAGGGGCACGTAGTCTGCGATGCTCATTTTGAAGGCTTCTGGGTAGTCTTTTCCGAGGAAGATGGGGTTGGCGAAGGTAGCGAGTTGGAACTCGTTGAAGTGGTTGGCGGCGTCGACGTCGGCGGGGTTGTTTGGATCACGGGGAACGCCGAAGTTGTCACTGAGGGTAAAGGAGAATTTACCTTTACCGCCAATTTCTTCCTTGTAAAAGTGGTATAGTCTGGCGTGCGATTTGATGACAGAATCAACAGACTTTCCATTTCTAGAGCCGAGGAGCGGCTCGTTGTAAGACCACCAGATAGGGACGCGGTCGGCAAAATGCGTCATGAGGATCTTGCCATAGTTGACAAATGCATCTTCCCATGTCACGTTCTTGTAGCTGCACTGGAAGCAACTGTCCAGGTAGCCAATTCCGCCAGTACCTGGCTTGATGAACACGCTGCTGATGTTGGAGAAGAATTGGAATGGACTATCGTTGTGGTAGATGACGATAGCCGGCAGCATGCCTTTTTCCAGCACAAAGTCGATGAGCTCGTCATAATGCGCAAGGCCTGGCTCGTTGACCGGTGTACCCGGGAGAATAAAAGGTAGGATACGTGTCCAGGGAATAGAGAAGCGGTAGTACTTTACGCCCATTGATGCGATACGCTCAATATCTTGCTTATAGAGATAGTAGTTTTCATTGGCTACCCAGTTTGGCGATTGGCCTGGGTTGTTAAGGCTGGCAACATCGTTGTGGGCTGGCGTCCGACCCTCGTCGGCGATAGCACCCTCAATTTGGACTGCTGATGCGGCAACACCGAGCATAAAGTCGGCTGGGAAATAGTAGCAACTCTGGGGAACCAGAGGCTCAGGTGGAGGCAAGATAAGCTCACTAGTTGGTACTGGAGTTGGCGACACAGTAGTAGAGTAGATGCCTCGAGTAAAATTTACCCAGGGAACTGTTGCCCAGAGAGCAGACCAGGAAGCGTTTCCGTATGGACTGGCAGTGTCTGTAGCAGTAGCGTTGGATCCAGGATACCAGTTTCCCCATTGTGTCGTTGCCAGATCGGGCACAAGGCTGCTGAGAGATTGGTAGGGTGGTGCATAAATCGTTGTAGCTGTTGGCGAGGGAATTGAGGTGGCTGTACGAACGGTTTCAGTCTGCGTGAGACTGAACTCCCGGAAGCTGTATACGGGAAGCGCAGTTGCGTAGCTGTTATTCGCGGCACATTGCGGTCTCGAGACTGGCCCTTGGGCGGGGACGTAGACTTGCTGGCCAAGAGCCACAGCTCCGCAGACCAAGAGATTCCGAGGTCTCATAGTGCCTATGTACAAAAGCGTTACCCATATTGACGGTATGCATCGTGGTTCTTATACGTGTCACCGGCAGATGTGAGGGCCTGGGGTTAGATTGCGGGGATGTACTTAGCCAGTCTATTTGACGGCGTCATTATACGAGTCCAGTGACCAGCCACGATGTAACAGTACATGGGAAAAGTACAGGGAAACGAGCAAGCCTAGCCATGTTTGCCTACCTTTTGGAATCTGGAAAAAGGCAAACCTCGGATAAGGTCGGTCGGGGTAATGTTCGGGTTGTGGAGTGTGGGGAATGGTGTGGGGCAAACCCTTGCTTAGGATGACGACTATGACCTCAAAGTAGCGATCTTCCGATCCTCGCAATAACATCGACCCGTTCTCATATTGCGCACTCCGTGTACCGGAGTTTACACAGGTGGTTGCAAGTTGTTAGTACGTTTTTCTACCGCAAGTTAGCCCGAGGTTACTTGGAAACCCCAGCAATCTTGTCGTGCGTAGCAGGGTTAAGCGTTCCGACTATTCGCGGCTTATGTGATTATGTTTAACCGCGTGGTAGCTCTGGGGCATATGACCGATGGAGCTTAGGCAGGAAATGACGTGCGAGTACCGTCTTTGCAAAGCGTGTTTTTATGTTCTTTTGCTGCATTGATGCGATACAATCCAAAGACCACATGAATTGAATATCTGCCCACGAATGCTGAGTTTCCCAAATATTATGAAGAGAAGTATCTCGACGAAATGATTTGATGAAGAGTAGAGGGATTTAAAGAGGCACATATGGTGCACCGAGGATCGAGTGCGGTGCGGTACAAGCGCTATATAGACTCGTCTGTATACAGCTATAGCCTAGCTAGGCAAAAAATAGGCTTGTACGGGGCCTTTTAAGATTTGGGCATCTGAACATGAAGCGTGATAGCAGGATGTCTTGATAACTTGTGAAAAGTAGGCGTGCCGAAGGAATGACCTGCACGTGCCAAGGCGCTTGCTTGATTGGGCTAGTGTGATAAATGACCAAGACGCGGCAAAAAGAACTGTGAACAGCGAGCCTTTTGTTGGTCAAAGCAAACGCACCGGAGCGCCCGTCCGAGAGTGGGGAGACGATGGTGAGTGCTGCAGGCAAGCGGGGTGTTGGGACGATGGAGCCAACGTGCGCGCGCTAGCATCGAGCATATGCCGAGGCCGAGCATGAAGTTCAAAGTGGGCGTTAACTCGGCCAAGTGGGAGAGCATAATCGATGACTGCGGTCCCCATAACGTGGAGCCTGGGTATATTGATTATCGATTATCGATTATCGATTTGACTATGGCGAGACAGACAGGCAAGGCTGGCTAGCTAGCTCGGGATGCGCCGCCTTGACGATCTGACGCCACATTTACTATAAATGTACAGGTCAATGCCTCCGGGTCGGGGCACAAAGCAGAATGGGTGTTGGCGCCGTAGTAGGAGATGGTTTGGCCTCACTTGTCAAATTTAGCTTTTGGGATAAACCTTGCGGGGGGAAAAGGACAGGAGTGGGAAGCAGAGTTCCGGCTTAGCCAGGGGAGATGCGAGAGTATAACGATTTTTTTTCAGCTACACCGCCAATGGAGTGGGTGCGGCTAGTCAGTGTGCGGAGCTAAGGATGCATATCAGTCAGTACTTGGACCTGTATGTGCATGCGCAGCGGCAAGAAGGCGATGTTGAGCAAGCCGAATGGATAGGGAGGGGAAGTTGGGTCGGGGTAGTCGGGAGGTGGAGACGTATGTATGTGGTATGCAGGAGAAGGTCAAGAAGCTGGTGCATGTTGCGGTTTGGTAAGGTGCGCGACGCGTCTCAGTGCTGCGACCAAGGGTGGGATTGCGGTGTGAGAAGGAAAAAAACGAGGGCCGTGCACTGTTTACATGGAGGTTCACCGGTGTAGCGGAGGTCTTAGCTCCGTCATCAGTGGGTGTTGTGGTTGATCTTGTTGGTGATGTTGTTGCTGCTGCTCTTGTTGTTGCAGTCAAAGCCCCAGACCTCGGCACTGCTACAGTCGAGGTGTGACGAGGGCCAATGGTGGAGTGGATACATTTGCATGTGCACATGTAAGTCCAGCGTTGATACTTATGTAGGTACATACGTATACAGACCAGTCCATATGAAGTTCCATGCGGCATCCGTCCATGGCCATGCCGGGGTTGGCGGTGGTCGGGGGCGTGATTGGCCTGTCGCGGCCTGTCGAAGACGTTGGCCTAGGTCGAATGCAGGCACCCATTCAGGGTCTGTCTAGCCTGAGAGCAGCCCGTCTACTCTATGGACTGGTCAGGGATCACCATGGCGGCTGCACACACACACACTCACATGCCCACGCGACTTTTGTTTGATTCCAGCAAATTGCCAGGAGATGGTGTTGTGACGAGAGCGATATGCGATGAGGCTGTGCAGTGAATGCAATCAATATATGTGAGTAAGTAGGTGAGGATGCATGCATGAGGGCGGCGGGTAGTTGCTTGCTCGCAGCTCGCAGCCTACCTGCCCCAGATTCAATAGCGGCGGTCCCGGCGGCAGGTACCACCGCCTAGCCGGCCTCTCCGCCCATCGCAGCCGCCCACGGTATCGCGACGCTCCTCCTCGCACACTGCTCCTCCTCGCACACTGCTCCTCCGTCCTCAGCTCCACGACATCACCCATCTCCCTCTACAAGTGTCGCCCGCCTATGTGACCGCTTTCGCATCAAACAACTCGGCATCGTGCGCCCTGCGCTCGTGTCAACGCAGTCAATTCCCGGCGGCTGAAACGCCCAAAGGTGCATTGTGCGTCGGGCGGTTGGCACACGGCCCAGAACGACACGAGCACTGCACTACCCCCTGCGCTTCTTAGTTTCGCCGTCGCCGCGTGCCAAAGGCTTCGCGAGACTACCAAGACTATGTATACGCGCAGACCGCCGCCATGACTACCCCAAGCCTCCCTTCGCCGCCGCCTGATGCCAACTACCATCCTCACGACGGCCCTGTAGCTCTCCCTCTCTGCTCTCTCCCTGCTGCTACCACCGACACCACCACTACCACCACCACTACTACTACTACCACTACTACTACAACCAGCCCAGCCGCCTCATCCTCGGCCCTCCAACCACGCCTTATACTCGACGGCACGCCATCCACCATGGGAGAAAGCACCACCATGCCACGCCAGCTCGCAAACACCTCCGACTCCACCATGACCTCTCGCCGCCCCTCGACTCCCCGCTCGCAAACGGACCCTCAGCCAGACACCATCGCTTCCCTCTCGACGCATCAACCGAGCACACTGTCCTATGCGCGCTCTCACCTCCGCTCGCGCAGCGGATCGGCCATACCCATGGCACGAGCCCACTCGCTACCGACTGTCATGCAACCCGCCTCCAACTTTGTGCTTTCATCCAGCCCAATACAGCTCGCCAGGCCCACGTCCCCTCTGCCCTCGCCAAAGCGAACGCGCAGCCCCCGCGCGCTCGACTCCCGCCCACTCACCACCCGTCCAGTCTCCATGGGCTCCTTTGACGGCGCACCAAGCGTCTGTGACATTTCCGAAGACGCAGAGCTCGAGCTTAAGCCCAGAGTCGGCACCACCGTCTCCAATCTCTACAGCAACACCCCTTCACTCTCCCGACGACGACGTCCAGTCTCGCCCCTCTACCACGTCTCCATTCCCTTTGGCCACCCACCTACCAGCAATCCTTTTGCTAGCACACCCACCTCGACTGCTTCTTCGCCTCTCTTTGCTCCGGCAAAGTTCAACGAGAACTATCCTGCCTCGTTAGCATCTTCGTCCGTCCCTTCTACCCCCACGTCTATGCGCTCCCGCAGCCCCTCCATCTCGTCTCTCGAAACCATCGAGGACAGTCCAGATGCCGAGGAAGAAGCAATCGAGGCTGACCGCATCGCAAAACTAAAAGCCGCCGCTGATCGCGAGGACGGTGGAGATGCAAGGAGGTCTAGCTTGGATGGCCCTGAAGGCCGTGGGCGCAGCAGCATGGGCTTTGGCAAGCGAGATTCTAGAAAGAGATGGAGTGTCTGTGGAGCCGAACGACGAGGAGACCTGGACCTCGAGACCATTTGGGAGGACTAATCATGAAAGCAGCATATCAACAAGGGTTACCTGGCGTTATTGCAAGCATTATTGCATCTTCAAAGCACTCATTTGTCAGCGCGTGGAGTTTTGGTGTTTTGCTCTGCCGTGTTTTTTTGTTTTTTTATTGCCCATGTGGTAGCGGACAGATCCGCGTCTTTCTTGCTTGTTTTTTACATTACGATCGCCCAACGTCCCATGAGTCTCGTTTCATCGAATGGGATAGGGTTGTGAATTTGGTCTCACACATATATAGCATGACATGTTTCCACGATACGAGACAACTGTCAGCAGATGATACCCTCCTTGGTAGGAGCTTTGGTTTTACACATGAAGAGATCGAGCGTATTAGTCAACTCGACCCATGTGAAGCACGCCTTAGTAATAACAATATATTCTCACAAATCATTGTTAGCACTTATGCATCTCCTCATGTGCACAAGTACACTTTTCTACGAGCTAGTACTTCCGTTTTGGGAAACTACAACAGTCGACCAATGACATCACATCACATCACATCCAGCTACCTAGTGGGGTCACTCGGACGCGACTGCCCCTCAAACACCAACCCACCCAACAGAAAAGTCTTGCATGCTGACATATCACTGAAGTCGCCTATATATTTATATTCTCGTCTGGGCTCATTGTCACTCTGCTACATCTGCACTCACATCACAGCCGCCAAAATGATCAACCTTGGAATCATTGGAACAAACTGGATCACCCACTCGTTTGTCGAGGCCGCCCACGCAACTGGCAAATACAGCCTCACAGCCGTCTATTCGCGGAAAGAAGAGACTGCAAAGGAGTTTGCCTTTAAATATACTGCCAACAACATCGCCTGCTACACGGACCTCAATGCCCTTGCCAGCGGTGACAAGATCGACACCATCTACATTGCTAGCCCCAACATCCTGCACTACGAACAAGCCAAG